GGGACAGGCCAGTACGAGGTCGGGAGGGGAAAATCACAGTATACTCACTACAAAAATATAGACTACGCCACTGCTCCCACCCTATTGTCATTCAAACAAGCTCTCAAATCACACCTCTTCAAACTCTCCTTCAAATACAAACCCCTACATCACTCATTGCGCAATTTTTGAAAGTGTTTCATTTGGGTCTTTTGTCTGCTCGTGTCTCTCTTTTTTTGGCCTGGTTTTGTTCTCCACAAAGTACCTGTTGAGGATTTTCTATTTCACGTTAGCCTGTATGTGCCGCAAATACTTTTTATCCCGAACGTCATTTGATAATTATTATAGATTGAGCAAACTAGTAATCAATTACAAACTGGTGTGCACGTTGTCCTTACACATTAATCTTATTATAATGCAACATATAATATAATACAGTTATTAGGTGATGTCAATACTGTTAATGTTTCGCCATGAGTAAAACTGTATATGCATGAGGTGACCCTTGATGATTGAAACGGCTGAAAGCTTTCTGAGCACAGGACGACTCACCACAAGCAGCTTAACAACAAGGCTGCATGAGTCTACCACAATTTGGAAGTTTTCATTTCAGAATGCTCTGTCTTCATACACGCGCACACACACACACACACACACACACACATCTGGTAGTATTTGGTGTCAGAGGTAGAATATTATACCTCTTTTGCGTTACTAGTGAAATAATAGTAGTAGAATTTTAAAAATGAGTATGAGATACGAATGTGATGACATGAAATATACCTTTTGGATTGTGATCTGAAACGCCTTGTGTTTGCTTGGTAAGGACAGTTGAGCCGTGTCTTTTTGCGCGGGTTGTGAAATAATTAATTTGTGTGAAAACTTGACTGCTGATGCTCGTGGACACTTCGTTTTTGGGGACTATTGCGTTTAACATTATGGCTGTTGGTGATAGTGAGAAATAACATTCAAATACATTTTGTAGTAGTTTTCAAGTAGAGTAGAGTAGAGTGGAGAGAGTAGACAAGTAGAGAACGCGTGGCTTACTGTTTCCTGATCAGTTCCTGCTAAGCTATCTGTGATGTTCATGCTCTGAAGGTTACAAATTAACCACTAAGAGAGGAACAGCGGGAAGACGTGTAAACCTCCGTAGGTGTATGCAATGAAGGGTTTGGCTAGTGGGGTGTCTAAATGAGTACTCAAAGGACTCTGGTAAGTAAAGATGAGCTTTTTCGACTTTTCTTTTCTAGTATTTTGTATTGACAGGTAACAGTTTCAACAAAATGGTCACTTGTAGGGTTTCCTCAGAATTCTGTTTAGCCAAAGCAGCAGCTGCACTCTCCATTCACAGTGAATGACTGGCCATGGTTCATTTGTTCTGTTTTATCTGTATAATACTTGCAGACAAGGAAACATAGACACTTATAAACACAAACATACAGATAGACACACATTCCACTGTCTTCAGATAATAATGTTGTTATCTGGTTGGATGTGTATTCGGACGAAATGTTTATGCCAATGCAAAAGCTTTAAATAGTCGACATGTCAACCAAATCAGGATAAAGTTTTTGCCCGTGTCAATGGAAAAATGGGTCAAAATGGGTGGAAACTTTCTCTGGAGGTAGACTTAGAAGAAAGACGGTCCAATGGGTTCCCATCACCCTAACATTGCACTATATTTGTCAGTGGTCAAATATTTGGAAAAATAGGGGGAGAGCAGGACAGGGAGGGGGGCAATATGAGTGAGTGTCCACAACAGATACTGACCCCTCATACTCCCACCCAAACTCTCCAAGCCTCACGCGCCTATTTATAGGGGAAATTGCACTATGGAAAAAAATATGACAAAGCTGCATTCCATAAATAAGCTGGGAATGGTGGAAAAGAGCACACGGCTTGGTCTCTGTAGGCCTGAGTGGAGGTTCTCAGGCTTGGCTTTGGATTACGGAAGAATGGATAGCTGGGTGGATGAATTCAAAATGATCATTAATTACCTTTTAGTGGAATCATGTTTTTGAATAAATGCTTTTTCAAAATATCACAATACATAATATTATATTACATTAAAAATGTATAATGACAAGCTCAGTTTTGCAATGACGCTCAATAGAAAGTATTTAATCCACACATGAATACATAATTATGTGGTGTAACTGGTTATGAACTGTATTGAATCAAAAGCGGGTCGACATGCTTACTGTTGGATGTTATGCACCTACCGCCATGTCAAATTCCTCGTATTTTGGCAATAAATATTCCTGATTACTGATGCTAAAGATTTTGATACATCCCGTCATATATATATAATGTGGGTATCGTTTAGCATGTTCATCATTCAACTGAGCACTGTGAATATATTGCTGCTTGTATCTTCACTCGTTGTCCCCTGGTTGTTATTTCTTTTGGAATAACTCTACCTGTATCTTCAAAGAGTGTGTGTGCACCTCCACCACGGAGTTAGCAAGGCCGTAGCCATTATCAATGGCAGAGGTCAGGTTATTTGTGTTTTTTTCCCCTTGGAATTAAGTTTTCCTTTTTTCGTTTTTTAAAATATAGTTATGCAAATTAGTAATAATTGCAGCTTGTCTCCAAACAGATGTTTTCATTCAGTCCCAAGAGGATGTCATAATCAGTCATTTCTAAAATCCTGACCATCCTAAGTAGAGATTTTCATCAGCGTGTTGTTTTATTTATACGCACCTCCTGGTACCTGAAGTCATCTGCAGCTTTGTTGTTAGGGGAAACAAAATAATCCCCTGTATGTTTGTGTCCTAACTTCACCCGACCACAAATGTAAATGGACACTGCCATTTACCGGCCTAATGACACGACCATTGTTCCTAGAAATGTTTGAGAAATCGCACAAAGCATTTCATGGATGAAATTGAAAGTGAATTGACCCCCGACCCTAATGTGTGCAGTGGGCCTGTGTGCTGGACTACCCAGCATGCATTCAGCCTCAGCCCAGCTAGACGGCCCCAGATGTCAGGCAGCAACGGCTCAGGACTCCAGACGGCCGGTCCGCACAAGGATTCGCTCTCCCCGTGGCCCGCTGCCAAGTTCCAGGCTCCGGAGGGTCCGGAGGGTCAGCCTCCCTACTCTGCCTCACAAAACCCACTGCCATAACAGCAGCTAAGGAGCTATGAATACACAGTCATTGTCTCGCAATATATTTATGGAAGACAGGAGCTGCATTTTATTTCTGTCGCCTGCGTGGTATTTCTGTCTTTGTGGGAAACTAGAAAGTATGCATTCCTCTGGTGGAATCGCAAGACAGACCGATTTTGAGTGGAGCCATTGTGCGAAGTACATGTGTGCGTGTGATAAAAGGTGTGTGTATAGAGGGGGAGATCATACGCATAACTATTTTGGTTATCATTGTGAAACATAAACATGAATTAAGTATATGTAGAGCTATTCTATTCGCACGCGGACAGGGATGAAAGCTCTGGAAAAAGCTTGTAAATCAACCTTGTTTTAAAATGATTTGATTTGCTTTCTTGTAGAGTTGTATGAGAAGCTCGGTGCGACTGTCACGGAACCTGCATTTGGAAGCAATGTTTATGTGGAATCCATTAAAGAGAAGCAAGTGAGCATTGATCTGTTTCACTGTACTCTGCTTCGCTGGCCACACCATTTGCCTTTCCCTCTCCGGGGAGTTTAGAGTAGTTGCTTGCTCAAGGACTTCTGAGACCCGATTGCTTTTGCCCACTGAGGCTCCATTTGTGTTTGAAAACCCAACCTCCAGTCGTCATGCAGCATGCCAAAGATGTCATTGACATCTTAACTGAAATGCTTTGAAAATAACCCCATGATACGTCCCGCTGTTTGCAGTCTGACATGGTAGATTTCTTTTTGTTGCAATTATTAATGCCCCTTTCTCCCCCTCACCGGCCTGTTAGCTGAAGCCTGACTATGTATTTCTTGAAAGCATCAATCCTGCATCTAACGCAACATTCTCACACTGAGGCTCTGCACACGGCACGCCGGTTGGCTGTCGCCGTGTTGTGTGGAAGCGGTGAGCTGCGGTGCAATAAAACTCTCTCAGCCCTTTCGGCCCCGACTCGCCTCCACCAAGGCAGCCGAAATGAGCTGAAACAGCACTGACTCAGTGATGCACCCGTCCGTGTTCTGCAGGAATCAACGCCCCCGCACGTGCACCCATAAATTCGTGCACCTTGACACACGTGTGTTCACACGCACACACACCAGCACACCGACGTCGTCCTCCACACACACACACACACACACACACACACACACACACCGAGGTGTATCTGCATGCAAACGGCCCATTCCGAGACAATCTGATCACACAGCAGAGGCTTCGCCCAGTCTGTTCCTTCGCTCGGTGAGAATACCGCCGAGGCGGAATGGAAACTTCATTTTGCAGGGGCTAATATTAGCCCGGCCTCTGGAAAATTCCTCTTAAATGATCACAAGCTGAGAAAAGACAGGGAATTTGTTTAGCGTTTTGCTTGACAGTATTCTCTGCATACACAGCAGTTTGTTTCTTTTCTTTTTTTTCTAGCTGCTGCAGCTCGCAGGATCCTGGGAACACAAATGTAGGGGGAGGGAGGGCTAAAGGGACTCGTATGATGACATTTAGACGGTCAGACTGTCAGTCTGTCTTTCTGTTTCAGTTTCCGCTTGCACTGTTTAACAGCAGTTTAACTACCATTTTCTTGCTGCCTCCCTGCTCACTTAATTGATTCAGTGAGCAGATCACCGAATGTCACCTGCTCTGTGAGGGACGTGGATTGTTACACTGCTGTATTACACCCCGCAGCCTCACTGTTATGACCTCCAAAACGCTGCCTGACATCAGTAATTAATACACACAACGTATAACGTTTTTATCTAGGATAAGATGCTACTCTCTAAGTGGAAATATGTGTCCCTGACAACCAGTTTGTTTCCTGGTACCTCCATCACTGCCCCTTACCTAAATGGAACTCCCTTTATCATTACATGACCATAACTTTATAACCTGTGTTTGTGTTTGTGTGTTTTGCTAGGAAAATCCCACCTGGCCATAGTTCAGAGGGTGAACAATGAGGGTGAGGGAGACCCTTTCTACGAGGTTCTGGGTATTGTCACGCTGGAGGACATTATTGAAGAAATCATCAAGTCAGAGATCCTGGACGAGACTGACTTATACAGTAGGTCCCCCCTTTGAAGCGCGCATCCCCACGTAGACTGTAAGGCCTCGAGGCATCTCCACGGTTATAGCAGCAGTCTGCTGTTATGAACTGATCCAAGCACAGCAGTGACCATTTCAACCAACTTAATGTAGGTCTAACTGGGAAACATGTATCTCATGTAACAGTTGTAACTTTTGGAGGAGAATACACAGGCAAAATAGGTCATTAACAAACTGACTGACGGTCACAATCATTTATTGATTCAAATAGATTATTATTTGAACTAAAGGGGACCAGTTATTGAAACTAAATGGTGGGTTTTTTGCATGTACCGATTTCGTATTAAAGTGTGGAATTAAAGCTGCTTTATTAAAGACTCAAACGGCTGCATGTAATGTCAAAGGTCTTGGTCACATTGACCCTGTACTTTGTCTCTGCTCTGTTAAGGGATTCTTTCAGTTTTGATTATCCTCGACGACTGTTTTCCAGATGCAGCAGGCAGCTGTTTTTTTGGGGAAAAAAACATTGATAAGCCACCTGGATACCAATCTCAGAAGTCATTGGCTTATTGGTCCGGCAGCTATTTCTCCTCTGGGGGGCCACAATATTTTCACCTGTTTCTGGCGTAGCCAGCAAAGGAGGAGGTTATAGACACAGTCTGCAACGAGATTGTTTAACAAGGAACCAGGTTACCCTGCAAATGACTGTAGATTCACAAAAACGCTTATACAAAGCTAAATCATCACAAGATGATAGTCCTTCTCAAGATTGGGTGTTGACCATGCAACCGAAGCCAGGCTGAACATGATTGGTTAATACCTCTCCCTTCTACATACGGATACCAAATCACACAGCAACTGGTGAAAAATGCCACGGCAATGAAGAGCTGAGAGGAAATATGGGCTTATCACTCCAGGTGATCCCTTTCACATCACATGTAGATAATTGTTTGTTTATTTGACAATATTTACTTACTACATTTTTGTAATTCCCCAGAACTGCTTTTCGATTCTCATTTAAGACACACATATATTTGCGTTGTGTACCAAAACCTACAATATCAAACAATTTTTAAACAGTTATTTTTTCACATTTTGCCCTTGAGAGTTATAGATATGTTTTACACTCATTGTTTCACAGTTTTACTTAAAATGTTCCTTACAGTTTCATCCGTGTCAAACTGAACTGAGTATTATTACAACTCTGTATCAGTAAAGGACCGCAGACATGGACTACGTGCCAATCTATTTGTTGCCCTAATACATATGGCTTTAAGTAATGTTAAGAATGCGCTAAGCTAACAATGTAGCCCCCTATAGCTCTCTTTTATTTCCGAGAAGAAAGCCACAGCTACATTTCCGGAAAGAGCAATAAGCTTTGGGTAACTCAAGTTTAGTCACCCTGCGACCCGGGAGGAGTCGCTCACCGTCTGTGGAGTGGTGTGGATCGACCTATTGTTGTTGCACAAACAGCTTTAGTTTGTGTCTTACGCTCTGCTTTTCACCTTCTCAGCTGACAACAAGACCAAGAAGAAAATCACCCATCGGGAAAGGAAGCAGGATTTCTCGGCTTTCAAGCCTACCGACAATGAAATGAAGGTTAAAATATCCCCTCAGCTTCTGCTGGCTACCCTGCGTTTCCTAGCAACAGGCAAGTGGGCTGCGTTGCTGCTTGCCTTCCCTCAGTGTGCCCTCGCCCCCTCACTGTGGAGAAAGACAGAGTGTGTGTGTGTGTGTGCTGTTTATGTGTGCGTGTGCATCTGCCCATGTGGGTTTTTGGGGCGAGTGGGTGCATGAAGGAGCGAGTATGTGTGTAGAATGAGTATCTGTGTGTGTGAGGGAATGAGTTGTGCGCGCGTGCGTGCATGTGTGTGTCTGCCTGTGTGTGTGTGTGTGTGTGTGTGGAGAGGTGGAAGGCCTCTCGGCAGCGCGGCACGGGACGTCTGTGCAGACTGCGCGCGGATCCCTAAAAAACGCAGGCGTCTATTTGCTTGCGTGTCATGCACAAAGGTTACATGTTGAGATCTTAGCTCACAGCTTTAAAAACACCACCCTGTTTGCTTACACACGTTCCTCAGTGACATCACGTCCAGCATTTTTGGCCTATGATCGTGGTTCTCACACGAGTCGACATACTTATAGCGTAAAATGTGAAATATTTCCCCCGCTTTCCTTTGGGAAATGGATTTGGGAGCAGCTGCTGAATATCCTACGACGCTACTACAGCAGCAGCAGCAGTTGGCCGTTTCTCATTGCATTTGGATTTGCTTCAGAACTTTGACCTAGCAGCTAAGCGTTAATTAAGTTCCTCTAAAGGCTATTAGGGAGTTTAGTTCCTGGTGGTGGAGCCAGCAGCCAGCTGACGTATCACCGCTGCTCAAATGAAGAAGCTGATTGGCTCATTAGGTGGTTGAAGCAGACCAGTCGTAACCTGGATACAGTATTCAAAAGTTATTAATCCGTTTTTTCTTTTTTTCCACTCAGGCCTATGTGGTGAGAGGATCTTTACAGCCCAAAATCACAAATATTGTGTAAACAGCAATATTTTCTCATTCTTGTTGTTGTTGCTTAGAGGTTTCCTTGTACGCCTTTTCCAAGTCAGATTAATTAAGCTATCGCAACGTCTAAAATTTCTTCTTTCAACCTAAAAAATGCAATGAAATGATGAGATTTTGGCTAAATTGACATAAGCTTGTCACATAAGGCTCAGCTTTGTTAGTAAATTGTTTTTTTTGATGGGTCCGGATGGGGAATCTCAAGGAGCATTAGGAGACCAGGAACATAATATATATGACTCAGACTCAGGCAGGTGGACATAATAGTATTAACCTGTCTAGTAAAGATTTAGCAATTAAAGCCTATGAATTGTCAGAATATGCTATTAGGATCCGAAGATAAAAGAAGGAAAATGAACTACTTTGATGATATACTGAATAAAATAATAATTTGCAAAGGTTTATTTGTTTTTTTTCTGCGTGAGATTGTCATTGAAATCAGGTAAAACACAAAAAAATTACAAAAAAGCTATTATTAGTGTTCCACGTGTATACAAAATACTGTCACCTAATACTGTATATTCCTGACTATTTTCAACACTGGAACATTGTTACTGGTATCAGTCGGTCACTTCTTCTCTTTCTCTCTGATTCTGCAGAGGTCGATCCGTTCGCACCGGTGCAAATGTCAGAAAAGATTTTGCTTCGTTTGCTGAAGCACCCACTCGTCATCCAGGAGCTTAAATACGACGACAAGAACAAGCGGGCGGCAGAGCACTACCTCTTCCACCGGAACAAGCCCGTGGATTATTTCATCCTCATACTGCAGGTGTGTGGACGCGATGTACAAAGTCCCAAACCGCTCCTCTCCCTACCAAACGTCATTACACGTTGCACCAGACACATCCAAGACGGGGACATGCTGCTGTTAGTTCTACAGTACAATGCATTGTTTTCCTTGTTCCCACAGTTTTTCACAGTGTAGCCATCCATCTAACAGAGCTGTACGACAGGTTTTGTTCCCACAGGGGCAACACATCCTCAAAAGGTATGCACGGTATGATTGTACTGCAGGGCAGTTTGGATGTAAGCACAAACAGCCCGTTGGTAACACACAAGTCCGGCTCACTCACTGTGACGCTTCAAGATATCAGTCCGAAGAAAAGTGTGAACTGTATTGAAACAACAGTAGTGTCGGTTCCCTGTAGAAAACGACAGAAATAGAACAAAACAAATCTTGTGTGTCTTGTCAATACACCACATTTTATGCCACTACCGTGCTGTATTTCTGCATTTCCATGTCACACGTTGTTTTCAGATACCTAAAATAAATCCTGCTATGGAGTCACAATGTAGCAGATCAAAACAATTGTGTTGTCCTTGGTGTAGCCTCATAGTTGTAAAACTGGTCTGAATTTTGACTCTGGGTCTGAATATGTTTCCAGTACTAACATAGCAGAGTTTTCCACTTGTTCCACGTGTTATGACTTTAAAAAGGTTAAAGTTCAAGGGGAGTTCAGATGAGGTCTAGGTAGGACACGTGTGGGGTCACTGCACTTGAGACTGGGTTCAGAGTAGATTGTGAGCTTTTAAACAGAGTATGGATTGTCTTCAAGTAGTAAAAAAGAAAGGAAAGAGGGAGGTTAGGATGAATAAATATATCTGAGCAGGAAAAGCGGCGGATTTTGAATGTTGTTGTTGAATGTGTAACAGCAAAGCTGTGGTGGAAATCCTAGATAGGAAGGGTTCATAACACAAACTAGCAGTAATGGTCCACACTGAAAATCTGCAATTGAGAATGAATTAGGCAACAAATAAGTTTAATTTCAAATGTATAGTCTGAAAGGATGGATTAAAAGTAACAAAATGCACATAACATGGTGCTTTGTCTCCTCTGGATCTGTCTGTCACAGGGGAAAGTGGAGGTGGAGGCAGGAAAAGAGGGCATGAAGTTTGAAGCGGGACCGTTCTCCTTCTATGGGATGATGGCTCTGACAGCCTCGCCAGGTAAGACATCCTGTCATTGTCTCAAAACAATGCAGCTTGTTGTTTGCAAGTCTTCTCTCTTTTATAAAGGTGGGAACTGTAAAATACAGTTTATTTGTTTTTTAATTCTTTTTTCTCTCTGATAAAACACAACATGGCCCATTTCAGACTGTATTTAGTTGCTACTGTTTGTTCTTGTGACCTCATTAAACAATGTGAGATATTTACCTCCTTGTGTTGAATTTAAAAAAGCATTTTTTATGTTTCTTGAAAAGAAAAGTACTGTTTGGATATTAGGAACTGATATCAACACGTACGAGAAAGTCACAGTCATTGTACAGAAGAACCGTTTGCTATCGGGTCATCGGGTCATTGGGTCATGTAAAGATGATTTAAAAAAGAACTTTTAGAACCAATATACATCACATTTGTCCTGCGTCAGCATTCACATCGTCCCTTTGGGTGAGCAATGCAGCAAAGTGAAGATCCGTTTAGGACTTTCCTTTGCCTACATTCAGCCCGATGTTTGTGAACAATGACTGTGAGACTGAACAGGTTGTCCTCCGGTGACATCATGAGAAAGCGTCAGCCAGTGAGTCCTTTCAGTTCATTCATAAACTACAGTGCTATTCTCAGGCGTTGTCAACTAGTCTGATGCACGTGGTCGGTGAGATCTGAGAGACACCTACTGGCGAGAGAGTACAACAATCTCTCTCTCATGTGTGCAGGAGGCGCTTTGCAGTCAGAAATGAAACATGCTCTGATACGAGATGATGTTAATTTACTTTGACTATATCTGCACAGTAGCAGGTAAACTCCTGTCGTACGTTGAAGAATAGGTAGTTTTACTAGTGATGCTGATGCTTCTCTACCAGATTTTATGAACAAATGTGTTTATTTCTCAGCTTTGACGGACTCTCTTCTTTCTGCTTCTTTTTCTTTTGCATCTTTCCTCCCGCCGCAGTGCCTCTGTCCCTGTCTCGCACATTTGTGGTCAGTAGGACTGAATCATTAGCAGGATCTCCAGGTACAGTGGCTTTTTCTGTGTATCCACCCCCCCGTTCTCACATTCTACAATGAACCTGTCGACTTAAATGGAAAAAATAACGATGATGATTGGGCAAAGTCTAATAAAGTCTAATAAAACATGAGGTTGATTGACGCTGGCCTGAAACTCTGCTTGTACCTGAATGTAACATGTAATGTATATGTGAAGGTTTAAAAAGAGAACGAGGCCGAGAGGAAAACAGTTTGAGATCGAGACTTCACACCCTCGTCCCCTTGAGCCATTAGTCAAGTGGCTGAATGGTGTTGCAGACCGGAGGCCCCAGAGCGAGCCCAAGCCCCGCCCCCGCTCGCCCCCAACCTTTAACCCTCCGACTACATAAACAAGACCTACAGCTACAGCCCCCTGCCGGACACCACTGAGCGTACATACAAAGGCACACACGTGCACATGTGTTCACACGCACAGGCACATGCATGCGTAACTAAGGACACGCTGCCACGAACACAAACACGCCATCATCCATCCGGGATCACTTTCCAACAAATACACCCTCTTCCTGTCTTTTGCAGTGACCTACATTTCACCTCTAAATGTGTTTCTTTTTCACACAGTTGGGTGCCCCGCCGTGCACACGTTTGAGTGTGTTTCTGCGTGTACGTAAATACATTATGTGTGTACCCTTGACTTGGCCCCTGCGGCCCCTAGAAAGTGGAGTACTAATCCGAAGAGTTCACATGCCAAGTCTTTAGCCCACTGCGTTCGATCTGCACACACACACACACACACACACACACACACACACACACACACACACACACACAAATACCTGCACACATATTCCGACGTGGGATTACATACATTCCAGTAGTAGCATTAGTGTGGGCCAAGCCGTTTCCACTTTATTGTGTGTGATTTTCACTAGGCTTCACTAAGAAGTGGAAAACATAATCTGGCTTTAATTAAAAAAAACGAAAAAGTCTTGTGTGTAGAGGGAAGCAGCATCACTGGAGACCACCGCCTCGATACCTGCTGCTCTATGAAACGCCCCTCACCTACAGACTTGCGTAGAAATGAGATTTCCATACATGCTGGAAAGTTCTGACCTGGAAAATGTCCCCAATACGCGGATCGTATGTGCTGAAGAGGCTGAGCAGCAAAAGTAGTTTCAGAGGAGCTGAACGTCAAAAGTGTCTTTATAGCAAATCTATATTTGTTAAATGTCTTTCAAAGGAGGATTAACTGTATGATTAACTGGTTCGAGAACCGTACCAGATAAAACAACATTGTTCAATAGCGACTGTCATGTAAAGTTGGAATATTTGATGAGAGCATCAGCGATGTGAAGATCTATCACATGATGGATGGCCGGCACCTCCGTTTATTGAACAGACCAAAAGTCTGCAGCATATGCTAGCAGCTCTGCTAAATGCTAACATCCACCTGACAAAATGCACACAGTGACAATGCTAACGTGCTAATGCTGATAAGCAATACCATTTAACATGGTCACCATCTTGGTTCCGAGTGTTTACCTGCTAACTTTAGATAATTTGCTCTTTAAAAAACTACAACTGTACAGCTTATTTTGACCTGATGCACTAGAAGAAAGTTCAGATGTCCACCAAACCTGAATATCTGTGAAATACTGTATATCAATCCATCTAATAGTTGTGAAGACATTTATTGCAAAGCTACTTATATAAATCTCATGGTGGCGCTATAAATAAAATCAAGATACCACAACATTTAAAAAGACGCCACAAAAATATCATTTTTTTCAATGGCTACGACCAACACCTTTTCTGTTGCATGAAAGTTCTGGGTGTTATTTAATTTTTTTGCATGCCTAAATAATTTCTGCTTGTGAAAAACATACATTCATGACAAAATACTCCCTAATGAGCCAAAGTTGAAAATACTTTTTCTGAGATACTTGGCGATAATGGCACAGGTTTAAATGTATTCTCCTCTCACATCACCGCCCTACAGAAAATAAGTCTCCTCCACGGCCATTTGGACTCAACCACTCGGACTCTCTGAACAGGAGTGATCGTATAGACGCCATCACCCCGACTCTCGGCAGCAGCAACAACCAGCTCAACTCCTTCCTGCAGATCTACGTACCGGACTACTCGGTGCGAGCGCGCACAGACCTGCAGTATATAAAGGTGACAACACCGAAAACACATGTCTGTATACTCAGATGCCCTTGTGGAAGATTACTAAACTATTTATTAATAGATTAGATGCATTAGATTAGATGTGTAATTATTTAATTTATTAACTAAATAATTAGTAATCATTTAACAAGCCAAAATCTCCAAGTTGTTCAGTAATTAGTATTTGGATACAGAAGAAATGTTCATTAAAATAATATACCATTTAACAATTGGATGTAATAATAATGCTATTTATAAAAGCAGTGTTTTTAGCAGTGGTCTGCTCTTAAACCACCCTGAATATACACCAAAATGAATACGAGGCATTTTGTGATAAAAGATGCTGCTTTCGATGAGTCCAGATCATCACAATCCCCAACCGTTCCACCTCATCATGCCTCTCCTGCTCTCTGTTGCCTAGGTAACACGTCAACAGTACCAGAACGCCGTAATGGCGTCACGCATGGACAAAACGCCGCAATCGACAGACAGCGAGTTCACTAAGATCGAGCTCACGCTGACGGAGCTCCACGCCGGGGTGGAGACCCCCGCCGTGGTGGTTGTGGCCACCACGGCCAGCGCCGCTATCCCCACCCCGGCTCTGTCCGTGTCCGTGGCCAACGAGACGTCCCACCTGCTCAACCAGCAGCAGAACTGTGTGGGCCTCAGCAGGAGCAACCACAGCGCCCACAACGAGGGACCCATCTAGCCGCCGCCGAGCCCGGTGGAGACCCCGGACCCTCCACCCTGTGTCATGGACACACACACTCACACACGGAGCGGTGGCGTAGACAGAGATGAGGGAAAGTGGGGTAGCGGAGGCGGGTGGAGTTAGGGTTCTGCTCCAACCAGTAGCCCCCCCAGTCAGTCAGTCAGTGAGACCTTTTCACGGAGGCGGCAGTGTGGAAGACGGGTGCTGCGTCGCCCTCAACGCCCCCACCTGAAGAATCCCGGCTGCACTGCACGCTCTCACAGAGGGTGCACTCGGACGGGGCCCCTGACTGAGCTTCTATTTTTGGGACAATCCGACACTTTCGTAGTGGTGACTTGGACTAGAGGACATCGGTGCGCATGCAAACCCTGTTCCTTTCACGCACACACACACACACACACACACACACACACACGCACTGTATTTTCTCCTAAGGCCAAAGACTTTGGTCCCCCTTTCTTATACTAGACACAGGCGTTTATTTGCCCACAGACACACACACACACACCGAAATTCAAACATTCACACACACACACACACACACTCACAGATGAAACTCCACCCGTGCATCTTTCAGGGAAGCTCAGTCGAATGTTGATCCCATCAACGAGGACTCAAACCCAAACAAGCAGAACGGTTGGTCAAAGACTGCACCAAAAACCGCTTTGGAATGAACCGTAAAACCACGAACCAAGAATGTTTTCCTGTATTTATTTATTTTATAATATTGTATGTATATATGTACGTGTGGACCCATGATATGACAAAGTGGCATACGAGCATGCACGAGCATGTAGACAAAGGTGTGCGTGGGGCACGTGTGTCATATCAGAAAAGGACTTGCTACATATATGGAGACGAACATCCATTCATGTACATGGGGAGGTGAGGGTCTTTCACAGATACAGTATGTATATTACAGAACTTGTTATTTTTACTATTATCCTAAATCAGGCTGGTGGTACACTATCTTTTTCACCTTAAAAAAATCACACTATTGCCTTTAAGAGAAATCATATAATTAATTATTTTAACAAAGTGCAATGAAGAGCAATTTATTTAAGAGATGATTATGAATTTTAAAAAAATCACTGTAATATAAATTGACAGATATATTTCTATGTATGTACTGTATGTATATGTACTTGTATTTGTTTTTTGAATAATGCTCTGCAGCCACCCACAACGCAAAACTGTCCTTAGTCAGTCGCTCTTTCTCTTTGTCTCGCGTCCTTTGACCTCGAACACCACGTCTATGTGTCCTTATGGGAGCATTGTTGCCTAGACTTTTAAGTGCCATAGTTATGCATGTGGAGGTTGTGTCTTGTTTTCTTTTTTGCCAATTCTACGCATAGTCCAACTTGATAATTGCACAGTATTAATGACCTCATCTAACATGTTGAGCTTCATCAACGTCACAAAAAGTAACCTCGACATTAAACATGTCCATGAATGATACACAGCTGTGCTTTTCCACTGCTCATGTGTCAACTTGTTTTTCTGTTGTTGTTTTTTGCATGTGAGGTACACGTGTGTGTGTGTGTCCATAAAACGTTTGGCTGACGGTTCCGTTCATAAACACAATTTTTTAAAGTAGCGAATGTGAAAGACGCTAAACTTTATTTGTTTTGGCTCCCTACACTTTAAAGATTTTAATCCATGTTTAATAGTTCTTGGGTTACTTCAGTTCAAAATCAAAACATATTCTGCACAAATGCTGCTATTAAAGATATATAGAAATATATCTATATACTTATATCTATAGAATTTTATCTTAGAAACATTGTACCCTTATTTGTTATTTGTTTCACTAGTGGGAAATACAAACTTGTGTTCTTGCAGAGAGTTAGACGAGCAGAGAAGAGGAAGATGGTCTCAATCTTCTCGTCTGACTCTTGGCAAGAAAGTGAATTAGTGTAAATTTTGAGTATTCCAATATATTCTATATATTTGTTTTCTTCCGCATTAGTACCTTCTTCACCCTTATTGTTTTACCTCATGAAGACAGGACTGAGTTATAAGATATGTCTGCTTTACATATTCCCTAAAGAAGTCATAGTGTAGAATAACTTTGTCTACTTCATATCTGTAGGGACGTTGATTTTTTTTTTTTTTAACTCTTTAACTAAAAATGACTGATTCCACTTCCAGGCCTGTTCATTAACATTACACGAATTGTATACGGGCAGTTTTCTTGCCACCTTACAGGCCACAACAATGTCCTGAATGCCCAATTAATTCGAAATTCATTTTCAGTTTGTAACCACTGGTGGTCACTGTGTTTCCACTTATAATCCAACGTGTGTGCAACGCCCCTGAAACCGCACACGTGGTCAAACAGCCCTTCCGTCTGCACAGCCAGGAGGGGCGTCGTGGTTGAAGAACCGGCCGTAGAGCACGTCTGCGTTGTTTGCAGCAGCTTTTCGCTGTTGTTTATTGTTTACTTGAAAGAGCTCCTATGCAGCAGACCCACTCCTGCTTTGCAGCGACAATCACTCCAGCAATGAATGATGATTAGATTGTAAGGCTGTAAGATTGTGCTTGGAACATTCCTACTCTGCTTTATGGACTTCGGTGCCTGACAGGAACACAAGAAGCATGATGACGATTCAAAAGTCCAATTGCACCACAGTGTTTCACTGGGGGAAGCGTCGGCTGTGGCTGCGTTGTTTCAATATACGCTGTTAAACACACACGTATTCTCTATTTTCTTACGGGCTCCGGCCTCTGCTGCACACAAGCTTATCTCCCTCCCATTATGTCAATGCTTTGCAGGTCTTTGTTTGACTGGTCTTTGCTCCGTTGCAATGCTGCTGCTGTACCCATGTGCTGTCCGTAATGCTTCTTCTACCTGGCGACAACATTCCCATTGCCTCCTGCAGCTGGTGGTTTTAATAAAAAAGTGAATGATTAACAGACAGTCGGTGGCTCAATGTACTCAATCTAATGCTCTGCTGCAGCTTTTTTTTTATATGCCTCATCAATACAAACAAACAGTTGCTTAACAGGAGTTTTGGAATCTGACCAAATCACACACAATACAATAGTGAACAAACCTTCACCATTACGGGACGCCAATGAGATGTGTAATGATGGCTTGATTTCTGGTGTTTGGGTGAGGAAATGATAAATGTTGACTCTGTCGAGAGGTGCGGTGACATTCCACCCATATAGAGGGGTCGAGTTGTGATTAAGAAAAAAATCCCCCAGCCTGATATTGAAGAAATGCAGCTTTTTATGTCGAATACGATTTTTAAAGCATTTTTCCTTCACTAAAAAATACATATCAGCTTTGTCTGAATTGTTTTTTCTGAAACATCCCTCATCCCTCACACTCAGGAGTATTAATTTTGAGGTCACGATACTTGATGTGCATCATCAATTGATTGTGGAATTGTGACCGAATGCCGAGACAAGTGGAGATTCTTTTTCAAACCGTGGATGGTTTAATTATGTGCTTCAAGTTGATTCTCAGGTGGATTGTTGTTCAAACCGTCCGAGCAGGAACCATCGAAGACTCTTCAGGTTCTTCCTAATTTTTCATAACTTTGTCATAATAGTCATGACCATTAAGCACATTATACATTTTGCATAGGTCAGCCACATGTATGTAGCATGTAGAACTGTTTTACTTTTGTCGGAAATACACTTTCCAGTTAACCGTAAATATAAATCTAGATTCTATATTATTATTATCTTTACTTACTGTCATTTGTGTTTTATGTTGCATGTCTTATTTGTGCCTCAAGTGTGCTTTTTTAATTTTCCTTGATCCTCCAGAGGATTCTGCAGGAACAGGGAAGCAAGACGGTTTCTGCAATACTATATTATTGTTTGCAATTTTTGTATTTGTTTCTTAAAGTTTTTGATCAAGGATTCAAGGTTTTCTTTAGTAGATGGTGTAGAATGTGATCAGGGGAATTACATAGTGTGTGTAAAAAACTCTTCATTATGTATGATTTACAAAACAATTAATCAAGATGCCACAAACCTGGAGCCTCAGGATTGCACACTGTTAATTGTTAGTAATCCAACCCGACAAAAGTAGAAAGATACGGAGATTATGAAATACTCTTTACTTTACATTTTTATGTAATTTACTTCAATGTACAGTGTGCAGGATATTTTCTGGAATCAAACAAACAAAACATTGTTCAGGAAAACATCAGTATGCAATAAAACATCAGTATGCAATAAAACATCAGTATGCAATAAAAGAAAAGGATTACTATGGTTTGTGGCATCTGTTACCGCGGACGCATGTGGGGCATCACGATAATGTATACAAATCTTCTAAAGCTCATTAAAACAAGGCTTTAGTTTGATGAAAACTAAATGTATATTTACAGTTCTGTAAACCAAGACCATTTAAACCGTAGTCGTGAACAATAACAAATAACCCCATGGTATGGATTACAATTAGTATATTAGTTTAATTACTTACTATATTATTCTTATTATATATTCTTTTTCATTTGAACAGTTTTTTGTCTTTGGATAAACTATAATGACATAAAATGAAACCAATACTACCAAAAGTACCCGAACTACCCCAAGAAATGTGCTTCTTATTTCTTAGGAAACGGTTGACTATTTCCTTTTGCCAAATTGGCTGCCGGATGTAGCACATCGAGTTCCATATTTAATAAACAGAATCAATAATGGAGAATATTTCATTTCGAAAAGTAAAGGAAATATAATTTTAGCCGATAAATCCCCACAGAGAGAGAAACACATTCATCTTTTCACCACATCAAGCCAAAAAGAAAATGATGCAAAAATCAAATGTCATGTTTCTTCCCTTTTATGGCCTAAAACATCAGGCCGGTCCAACACTTAGGGGACTGTTTCAGCAGGTCAACCACCAAAGATAAAAACCGTTGAGGAAGGTTAACATGCAGAATACACTTGTTAAAAGGGGAAAGAAAAGAATAAAAATTCAGGCAGCTTTCGTTGTGTTCTGCATAGTAACACTGATGCATTTACGATAGACACACATGTTGAACTGGAACAAATGGACACACCAGTGTTTCCTGTGCATCCTCTCCATCAGCACTGTTCTCTCTTCACTTTTATCTCACATGAGGTATAAAAACGTCCGTCTTTCTGTCGGCTCAGAAATAATCTCTAGCTGCCGCAGTTATTTGATATTGACTTTATAAACTTTTTGCAGAAGATGAGCGCGGAGCGAGACAACGTCCATAAGAGGGCGCCATTCACAATAATCGTTTTTAAACCTCATGTTAATTTATTAGTGCACTTGGATTTCTATCCAGTTTTCAAATGAAAACAGCTAGAACACAATAACGAAATAGTCACTTCACAGTGTTAAGTGTCCCACGAGAAGAACACGCTCTATCGATGTGTTTCCCCCAGTGGACGATGCCTACATGTCAGGGTGAGCAATTAAAAAAATAAAAACCCACCAACCCCAAAACCAAGAAGATAAACAAAGCAAGCTAAGCAAGGAGCTTTTAGTTTTACCATACATTCTACAATATGCCTAGTTTCTTTGCATTCTGAGGCCGCTTTCCCGCTCCTATTGCACACTCAAAAGAGATCACTTCAAACTCTCGTGCTTCAGGGCCCCTGTGCTCCAGTGTAGTACCACAGATTCTTAGCTTATCGTCACTGAGGATGGAGCGCACCGTGTGAGACACACACACATCCTTACACACAAGTTAGAACACAGAACTAGTTAAACAGACAAAACTCTACTAGAAAAAATTGAAAAAAAAGTTGTGTTGTTCCCATGTTGCATAAAAAACAGTGTTTTAAAACAGTATCAGTGCTTTTTGTTTAGTTATAATCAGCAAAGTTGGTACTAAAACTGCACTTTACCAATTCATATCTGATGGATTGCATGGAGAACGTGACTGCATCTATTTAGTCCACCAGAAAGTCCTAAAAGTCAGATTCTAAAACATTGTGCAATGTTTTGTCTGTCTGATGGGTAAATTAAACGGAAATTAAATGAATGAAAAATATAAAATAAAAGTTGTATAATGAAGCTAGCATAGATTGGCTCATAGAGGACGAGCATGGACTCCTTTTTGAGAACTGGTCCATTTTTATTACTTGTGAAATCTCCTGTATGCGTGTTTTTGTTTGTGTGCATACAGTATTGACACACACACACACACACACACACACACACACACACACACACACACACACACACACACACACACACACACACACACCTCCTGCCTCACTCTGAGAGAGATAACTAACCAACTCTGCTGGCAAACACGAGGAGGCAGAAACGCTCCGTATTGTCCAGCATACGGTTACTCCTCCTCCTCATCATCGTCCTCGTCGTGGCAGTGGGTGATCTCCTGGGGAGTCTGGGGGAACAGGTTGGGAGGTTTGATCTCGCTGAAGGAGCGGGTCAGCTGGTTGCGTTTGCAGCCCAGGTCCTTGCAGTCGCTGCAGTGGCTGCGGTTGCGTGTGGCCAGCGGCGACTCCGTGTCGATGTCCACGTGGGCGTGTTCCACCGTCGACTCGTGCGGCATCTGAGGAAGAGCGAGGACAACACATGAAGGAAGAGTCTGCTCTTTAATGAACCAGCGGTCCGGCGCAGTGCCTTTGTGTGGGTGTTCCACGGGGACCTGCTTAGATCGTAATTCATTTCCCTTGGAGGAAAGCGTCAGATTGTTTATCCAGAAAGCTTCTCTCTACTTCAAAAGGAAGATAGCAGCAATCCCCCTCAGTCTCAGGTTGACTCTTTGGACCCATTGACTGGAGAGGGAACCTTTCGGCCATTTATCAGAAGTGGCTTCATACAAATCCCTTCCTCGGCAGATAGAGCCGTACTAGGATGAGTAACATCAGTGGAGACCCTTTGATGGATTTTCTGTGAACTGAGAAGACCGGACGACTGAACATTAAGGAGCAGAGAGCTTGACGTTCCCGCACTAAAGTCTGATATTGGAGTATTTTCCCCAACTTAATGAGACTTGTATTAACCTTCAAAGGCCTTGGACCTGAGAGAAAAGTCTACAGGCTAGACTTTCGTGTCCGTATCAGTAAGATGGTGCAAAGGTACACGGTTTATTGCAGCTCCTTTAATGGACATTCAGTGACTCACCAGCACGTGTGCGGCTCTGAAGAGGTAGCTGAAGGGGTAGTACAGTAGGTTGATGAAGGAGGCTGCGTACAAGTCGGCGTAACGCATCACTTGAGAGGCAAACAGAGTCTGTCTGGAGCCACTGCGGAAGAGGCTTCCCATCATGCCGTAGCACATGTCCATGTCGTGTGTCACTTTCTAAAAAGGGCAAGAAGGAGAAGCGGTGAACGTGAGGAGCCTGCAAAGGCATATCAACAAAAGAGATGCTCACTCCTAAAAGGGTTTATCATCCCAACTACAGAAAGAATGGTACCTTCAATCATGTTAATCATTAGACTACAATAGACACATGGACACACTTTGAATATGGGCATTGATAACAAGGCCGTCTCTAGAGGTGCGTCCAGGTGTCTCTGACAACCCGTTGTCATAGAAACAGAGGCGATTAAGGCCGCACCTTGACTTTACTCTGAAGCGTGCTGATGTCTGGCCTTTCGTTACTGCTGCTGTCCAGATGTCTGAGGAAGGAGGAGGAGAAAGACGTAGGAAGGTGGTGGAGGGGAGGACATTGATATGAAGCTTGCTGAAAGGTAACGGGTGAGGCCAAAAATGTAAAAAAAGGCTACAAACAAGTGAACCAGGTTATCAGAAAAGCCTGCCCGTTTGACCCCACCCCTTTGACCCCTTTGTTCTCTGACAAACACTCTTGTTTCAGCAGAGAGCAAAGAGCGGGACAAACCTGATGTAAGAGACGTGCTGAGGAGGGGGGTATTGTGAAGGCGAGGGGAGGCTAAAGTACGGAGTTCTTACTTGTAGCGTTCTGCCAAGCAAATGTCCAGACTCTGCAGTTCCTCAAATAATGCTGAAAAACACAACAAAACGCTGAACCGACGTAGATTCACGCTGCATGTCCAGTGTTCTGCAATAAGTTAGCTCTTGTACAAATGCTGCTAACGCATGAGAACGGGACTATCCAGCGTCAGGCTTTTGACTTTGCACCTAATCATTATATGACCTTTATCCAATTAGCTCATGTCTTACTCATGTCTTTTTATGACCTGTTCTGAAATCGCAGTTGCCACCAGGATACAAGTCGGGAATAGCAAACTGTTTGTCCCGTGTTTCTCTTTGCGTCTGAAAACTCACAGCTCTTGTCGGTCCACACGTGCAGCTCCTGGGCCAGCTCGGGTATGACCAGGAACGTCCTCCAGCCTTGGCGTTTCTTGGACTTGAGGATGTCTCCGAAGATGTGGTCCCCTATGTAGACTATGTCCTTTCCTTTGGCCCCCAGCAGGTCGCACACAATGTCGGAGGAACCTGGAGAAAGATGACAAGACTTTGGTTTAGCAACCGCGACTGGGCCACACGACTTAACGCTCCAATAGAGCAATAGAGACGCACCGCCGGAGTAGACTATGCCATGCTGCAGAGGGCCTGTGTAGGTTCCTATCTTCAAACGCCCCGTTGTCTGAAATTCAGAGCACATACATCGGATTAGTGACCGGAACCACGGCCCATTACCGATTGAATTATCCCACGGAGGGAAACACAAGTTTTCAATTTGGGGAATATGCACCATATCACGATATCGAGTTTGAATTGTTATATTTTTCAGAGTTGAATTTGTCGGGACATGCCGGCATTCACATGCAGTGAACCCAGTGGTAACCAGCTGTCTCAGCGTCTGCTCACCGTGTCCACTTGTCTGAGCACCGTACCCTCTCCGAAGAACAGCGGCTTCCTGGCGTCCACTAGGATCAGATCGAAGTAGGACTGCCAGGGCCTGTGGGAGGTGCCAGGCTGGACACAACAATCAACACAGTCACGCATACGAATATTAAAGGGGTCCCCCACCCCACCTCTATAAAACAACAACTGTGTGATGGAAGGGAAGCTGGTGTTTTTACCTTGGGCCCGTGGGGGAAGTCAAACAGGTAGTTCATGATTTTCTGTGAGGAACAGAATTGTTGAGAGTCATTCAGCTGCCGAGAGTCCGGCAGAAATCCATTCGAGGCAACGGGTCTCGACCTTAATTGATCGCCATCTGTACTCACGTCAGTGTATTTGTAGTCACTGTTGGTAGCCAAGAACACCTTGGCTACTTCATTCATTCTGCTGAGAAGAAGAGGCAGCTTCCCCTGGTTGGAGTGAATAAATGAAAATGAATAAAAAGAGATCCTAGCAGAGTATGTATTGTACTATAAGTGTGTGTGTGTGTGTGTGTGTTTTCTAACACAGCACAATGATTACAAACTACTTACATCTCTCACTACATATTTCTCCAAGTTCTCAACGGTCTTGGCCTTCAGTGTACCCTGCAACGTGACAAACGGCAGTCAGACTAAATGAAAATCCACATGTACATGACCGACAGTCTGCAACATTCTGACTTCTAGTTAGTTATTGCAAAACAGTATCTCATTTTGTTCAGTAACAGCCATAAGTGACCGCCCGAACGCAACAGGTAGTGACTTGTGGCATTTGCCGTGTTTAGCGAAAGCAAAGCAGATGTAAAATGGTGTTGTGACAGCACACATTGGAGGTGGTTAACAAAAGCTGATCTGCAATTAAATCTATTCCGAAAATATATAAGATCACCTGCCGTGTTGATTGAGAAAGCGTTTGAGCAGTTAGTCCTTCGTGAGCACCAGAGAACGTCCCCGTGTGACCACACAACTCCACACCTGAAGCCCTTGCTAGAGTGCATGATACGGCCTTGATCCGGACCAAAAGAACCCAACCGCAGGTCCACATCCATGACCGAAACCCCAAACCTTCAAAGAGCACCTCACCTTGAAGTGGACCCAGTCGACGGCGTCGCGGACGTCCTGGAACATGCTCTTATAGGACATGAAGAGGTCGCCATTCTTGAAGCCGGATTCACAGCTGGGGGAGGGGAGCAGAGACACACACGTACACAGCCGTCGGAAGCTTTTCAAAACATGACATCTGCTTTTTGTTTGCTTTTAAATGGGATAGCCTTCCCTTGTTGGAGGGGTCCCCAGCCAAACAGGAAAGTATTCTCCCCCTAAAAGACCAACAACCAGGTTTCAGAGGACAAAGGACATGTAGCCATTCCCGATTACATTCTCTACCGATTTACAGGCGTCTCCTTGGAGTAACATTAGAAAAAAGATCACCGTTGAGTATATCGAGATGTGATTCTCTTTAGTTAGTGAGAACATTTGTCATCCGTATTTCATTCTGATAAAGAGTTCATGCTTTTTCTACAAAATCAGTAGAAGAGATTAATAAATCGTTGTCTCTTTGACTGAACTCCCATTTATTTATTTCCTTTTTAAACCTTTTTAATCATCTCAGACTAGCAGATGAGACACCCGGACCCTCCCATGCTGCAGGGCTGGCTCTCCACCCGGTTTGGCCTGCGACTCCCTGTGCGTCACCGTGCGGTGGCCAGAAACGTGTTGCGTGACGCGGCGTGTTTACCAACGGCTCCTCACCTGGTGTATCTGTCACAGTTGGAGAAGAAATCCACAAGACAAGCAAAGAGGTAGGTCTCTGTGAAGGAAACAGACGGGCAGGGAGACGTCGTCAGCACTCGGACCGCCAATAAACGCACTCTGGTAGTCAGCTTTCGCTCCGGATAAAACGTCTTCTCTCGCTCATTGTAATTGTCTTAAGCAGTCCCACGGCCTCCCCCTCGGTGCTCAGAGGCCCTACCTGGCAGGTTGAAGAGTGTGTTAAGGATATAAAAGCGCTCCGTGTCGTCTCTCTGGATGAACTTGTTTGGGTAACGTTCCCGGATCTCAGGCCTCGGAAAAAGAGAAAAAGACAAAGACTAAACCTTCGTGTGTGTCTCGTGCACAGCCAAATGTACACAACTTCACATGTGCACATCTGGCCTGCAGGGATGTGATTTAGAACTCACCCTCGGAGGAAGTTGAATCCGTGGACACAGACCAGAATATTACCGTAGGCGTCAACCTTTAGCAGGTTTCCATGCATGGTGTCAAAAACAAGACCCCTGAAAGTCAGAGGAAATGAATGCTCCTGTAAGTCTACAATACAGAATTAAACATCATAATATCTAATATTTTAACTGCTATAATTTCCAGTTAAATGTCATTACAGTCAGCAGGATTTTCTCCTGTAAATGCTCTAAAGTAAATTTACTTTTAACAGGTGCTTAATATCCTGGCTACATCCATTGCGGTTTTCTCGTGAAAGGGGTTAAGATGAGCGGCGGCACTAAAGGAAGCATCCTCATGAGGTCCTTGTTGTGGGGGGGGGGGGGGGTCGGTTGGTCTCACCTGGTGGGGAACGATGGGTCGTAGACAAAGCTCAGCAGCTCCTTGGGGTAACCAATGAAAACCAGGCGCTCCACCGTGAGCTTGAAACCCAGTGACTCGTACTCTGGGGACTTGTACACTACAAATAAACACAAGCACAAGCAATGTTTTTACTAAATTTCCCCCCAAAATAGAATCAGAGTACATGTGTATGATCTCCAACAAAATGACTCTGCCGTTGACTTTAAAAAAAAAAACTATTATGCATGTCAAAAGAATTACAAAGCTTGTAAATCTGCTTTATTCAGAAGCAATTATTAGCCACCGTAAACTAAAAAAGTAAAAACCCAGAATTAATTGATTTATAAAGTAGGCGATTGTCAGATAATTAATCTAAAACACCTTCTCATCCCAAAATCAGGGTCATTGATTAAGCATCCTATCTGCTGGAGGGGAGGGCGCTGAAGAGCACACGGCTTCACAAACTGTCTTATGTATACAGAATGAGCGCTGTGTTTGCTATAAGAGGCTCAAAACACTTCGTGTTGCGCCCAGCTTGAGGACTTATCTCAAGGGCACGCTGCTCCCCACTTGAGAGACCTGGTCCTGTTGCTCCAGTGATATGCTTCTCAGGGCCCCCCCCCCCCCCCCCCCATCTCTAGCCCCCAATCTCACACCCCTGTCGCCCCGCGCTCTCCCTCCTCCCTCCTCCACGAGGATCACTACGTCCTGCACACAAAATCCACAAAGAAACAAGATCATGCGTGAAAATCGAAAGTCACCCAACCTTCAGCAGCCCTAACGAGCGCTGCAGAGGCCGATGACAAGCCCGCTCCTCCGCCCCTTCACGTGCGAGAGACCAAAACAAAGCCGGGTGTGCGGCGCAGGGGGAAAGGATATGTCAGATGTTATAAATACGGGGTGCTGGAGGTCCCCTGGAGACGGAAGGGCTATTGGCTGACGTTGCTGGGACAGGAGGAAAGTTGGTGCGCGGCGGGGCAGCACCGCGGGACAAAGCAGGAACACACATCGGTGTCTCACTCTCCAACGCAGGGTTCGCACACAGAAGCATGACGGGTGCGCACGGAGTCGCAGGACGAGCTCCAGTTCAGTCGAGCGCTTGTGCTTCAGTGGACACCGCTTCTCTTTAAGATCGTTTCTGCATTATGATCACGTCAGCTTTCACACTTTTTCGGCCCCGTGCCCGGAGCAGAAGCGAACATCAACTTAATTGCCTTTGCTCCTCGGGGCCCCGTCCCTTATTATGAGGCACGGGGCGGTGGAATAACTTGATTTCCCTGATTGTTTCAGACGAAACAGATTGCAATTCACAATATTATCCCTAAAATCATAAAAGACACTCACATAATGGAACAAAAACATACTGGAATCACTTCAGCTTACATTGAAAAAAGTCCAACAATCAGAAATAACTCTAATCTCGTTGACTTATTGTGAGTGCTTTTCATAGCCATTAAATCCAGTGTCGTTCCACCCCTACTTATCATAGTCTTGTGGAGGATCTGGGGCTATACAGTACATAGAAAACTATTTCGAGAGCTGTTCGCCTCCGTCACCTTTGCTATTTTCACTCTCTTTCTTTAGTTCACGGGTGGCTCTTTCCACTTGTTGACCTCGACACACAGTGTTATAGGCCCATTAAGGCCTCTGAAAGTAGTATGTCTAGTTTCTTTATATAACATGAACATGAAATGAAAAGCACCACACAACTTGGTGTCAATCCCAAAGTATTGTCTTATTACATGATTTAATATTTCAATAATTAAAAAACGTTTTTTTTTATCTATAGCTGTAATTTCATAAGAGTTTTAAAAAAAATCTGAAAAATAGTGATTAAAATATCACAGAATCGGATGGGTGCGACATGCTGTTTGTCTGTCTGAGCCCTGCTTACTTAAGACCCGAAGGAAGAGCAGTGGAAAACAAATAGAGAAATTCCCTCGTGTGACATAACCGAAGCTCTCACAGGCCATAAAACACTGAGCACAATCCACTTAAGCCAATTTGTATGACCTTTTCCCTTCTTTTAATTGAAAACCAAGGCCTTCTCCAAACACCTCCACACGGACACGTGACACCAATTGGCTTCGACGAATCCCTTTGAAGCGTAATTCTAGACGCCACTCACGGTTTCACACATCGACGGACTCCAGCGGGAGTCTGGATTGATTTCTGCTTCCACGCTGGAAGCGACGTGGAAAAGTTGCATCGTTCCGATAAGTTCCAGTGTCTTTGCCTCCCGCATTTCTGTTTTATAGGCGTCTTTGCTCCCCGGCTTTCAGACAATCCCTTCTCCCATTCCTCACGCTGTCAGCACGCACGCGCACACACATAAACACACACGGCCATCTACTTAAAATCTGGGCGAGAAGCGCGCTCAGCTTCAGGGATCGTTTACCTCGAGTCTCACATGACATTGTTGCCAGTTAATTATACCCCCTCTGCTCCATTTGCTGAAGGGTGTGGTGGCGTGGTCGCCTAATGTACCCCCCCAAACACAACACACACAGCTACTCTAGATACACAACCTGCACCCTTCAACTAATTGACCACTGGACCACACCGGGACTTTATCTGAATAACGTCACACATAACAGACACCAAACCTCTTAACCGTGTCAACTCATCTGTGGAATACAATAAGCAAATGTAGGCCTTTGTCACAGATTCATAACACCGTCAAACTAATGGTGCAAAAAGCAGGGAAGGAGCACGGCCTCGGGGAGCTACATTGCAGCCAAACTAGGACAGAACTATGTAGAGCTCTCGATGCAATCTGAGCGTCACCGCGTGTTCTCCTTGCGGAGCACACAGAGTGACTGAGGCAATGTTGATCTGGTTCACAGTAGCGTCAAATACGACTAAACGGTGTGATGTGTTTGCATCCACTGCAATAGTTGGACACTATTGACCTTTGTGTATTTTGAGGATAAACCGGAAGAAAAAAAAAAATCGTAATTTTCGTAAAAGCGAAGCTGAGGACGGTGAAACAACAGCGTCTCGGGAGAAGAAGCTTCACCTCCGGCACTCTGTGAGGCGGGAAGCTCTGTTATCGAAACCTGAGCGCCCGCCGTAAAGACATACGATAGCCGAGCTTCCAGTAAACATCAACACTTGGTTATGAGCACCCATAAAGAGAGTCATGTCAACAGCTGAGCGTGTGTGAAATCGCGGGGGGGGGGGTCGGGGTGCGGAGCCGGACCGGGACTACGAGTGATCCCTGTTCTCCAGGGAGGCATCGCCGGAGAACTCGGTAAACAAGCGCGACCTGCTTTTCAAAGTCAGGGATGGTCTATTTATAAGGACGGAGAGACCAAAACCGGGAGCTGAGTCACAGAGCTCCCGTTAATCAAGATACTTTTTAACTGGTAACAGGTCGGTAGGGAAAAGAACATCTCGCCAAAAATCAACTTTGTTATCGGGAGCTCGATGTGCCACTGGTATTGACCTAGATAATGAAATGTGGTCAATAACCTGCAGTTGCGTGGGGGGACGGCAGGGTAGCCTAATATAGAGTTGAAGAGGAGGGATACTGTTGACTTTAACATCCACACAAACACCACGAGGTGATGAGGAACTCAATAACTGGGAATTCAGGGCAGAATGAAAAAGGCGACAGATCTGAAAATCCCTCAGTCGTACAAAGGCAATAACAAAATGCTTTTTTCTTTCTTTCTTTTTTAACAATACATGTTTTTGGGATTGACTTGCATGGATACGTTTACTACATAGCTAAACATTTTCATCAATGTGGGCTACAAGTGTCATTGAAACGGTCTACATTATTAATAGGAACACAGGAAGGACAGTGCATGTAAAGTGAGAATCTGTTACGCAACCGTCCTGCCGACCTATAGCACCGGGCTGCTCCTTTCTGGTTTCATTATTTAGCCTTCTAAATGTTAGAGAGATGGCCAAATGTATAAGTACCAAACTGTGAAAGGTAAAAGTTAAAAAAAAAGAATCCAAACACATTTAATTAGCAACAAGACAGTGATACAAGCATTTAAATCTTCAAATTGAAAGGTAACAACCACAAAACGAGCTTTCCTTCATCCTAACTTTTAGAGTACATTCAAAAGAAATCATGCAATTATTTTGTTTCCACACTAGTAGTATTATTTAGGTAAATGTGTATTCAACTTACCTGCTAAAGTGTAATCCATGTCAAAGCCAAAGCATTTAATCTTCTCCATTGCCAAGCTTCTGTTGACAAACACTCTGCAGGAAACAAGTGGAGGTAAATGTTTTAGTTACAATGCAAAATGCCTCCATAAGATTAGTATTTATCCGGCAGACTCAAAGGAACTCAATCGACCTACTAAAACAATATTGTAAAAAAAGTCTATCAAATACATTTATACACCAGATGTTTAGTGCTTTTAGTGGAAAAAACAATTTCATTTTGACATTTTCAAAAGGCCCATTCAAGTCTGTCACTCTTCTTATCATCTTCAATCCATTATATCAAGATTGGTTTAATGGTAACATGACAAAATATTTTGTTGCAGCATGAGCAAAAGATTATGCATTGCAAGAGTTATCAATGTATTATTGAAAATGAATACAAGCTGTTGAAAAACAATATAGTGAAAGAGAAGACCACAGCTTGAGTTACCAAGAGGCGGGTCGCTGTCGCTGTGTTTCTCACTGACAAAGACATCTCGCTTAAGAAAAGTCAAGTAAAAGATATCACACAAAAAGTAATCCGTCGTGGGAATGTCTGCGATAACTGAACATAAAATCAAACACTGCATGTCAGAAGACTTTATGGCCTTAATATTTGTTCGGCATTCTACGTCAACATTCAATTCAAATCTTCAAATAAATCCTGCGTCTACAGCAGCGGCATAGAACTACACAATTGCGCAGCACTAAAACGGGTAAGAAAAGAGAAAAGCGGTTGAGTGTCCCAAAGCCCCATGTCTCGTGAGTTCAGTGGCTGCCAAAACCCTACAGGAAGTTTACAAAACACTCAACCAGAAGATTGCGCAATCCGGACAGACGGCGCTCTGGTGCGCTGACTCACGGATCAATCGGGACACTGAAGTCCGTCGTGGACACGGTGAGGGACGATGTTGACATGGCCTGGTTGCCAGGACGTGCACAGAGAAAACACGAGCCGCTGCTCTGACCGCTGGCACGGGGCCGACACATCTCATCTTCAGCATCTGGGACACTCCCTTGATATTTACACGCAAGTCTATCGGCTAAAGGGAAATGAAATATGCCGCGCTGAAACACAAACTAGCCTACGTCACACAAAACTGACCCGACTGCAAAGCAACTCATCTCCTCAAGTGTAAAAAGGTTGAAATACCTGGCAGCAGACCCATAGTGAACCAGCTCCCACTTGGAGGACAGACCAGCAGATGCCTGGTGATGCATTCTGTGCGAAATTAAACCTCAGTTTGACACTCTGTTGGTGTAAACCTGCTCGACCTACACAGGGCAGCTAGAAAAACAATGCCCCCCCCTCACCATCTCTCTCCCTCTCCCACTCTCTCGCTTTGCTTTCTTGCCATTCAGAAATTTTCGGACTTGTTGCAAAAATGATTGTGGTCATTCCGTGTCCTTCTCTGTTGTTGCGTGTTGCCCGTCGGGTTTGTTGTTGTGCAGCACGATGTTTGTGGGCCCTCAAAGACATCCAGAACAATCACAAGTCAGGTAGAATCAAGAAAACACCCACAGCGACGGCTGCACAGGAGCACATTTCATTAAACAGCAATTCTTTTTTTATGGGAATTAAAAAAAAACAGGCAACTGAATACCTGAGCGACATCGCCGAATCGCTTTATGACATTCATATAAAAGCAAACTTTTTTTTCTTACTTTTTACCAACACATTCAGCAGGAGTGTGCTGATCATATTTTATATAATCAATAAAGGCTGTTCCACTTGCTCAAATTAATAATCATATTTAGACTGTGATTTCCCAAACAGATCAAATTCAGACAATTCAGTCGTATGATCCAAAAAATAAATCAAGTTTAGATAAGAGACTTTGAACTAACGTTTACAGTGGAATGTATATTTTAAGTTATTTGTTTGCTTATGAGATCATTATTATGGCCTCACGCTGCTTCCATAGACACTAATATAGAGTCACCTCAATGAAAAACACTACCGCTGTCAGAATCCCTCTGCTTTAAATCCAACTCCCTCGGAGTGGCATTTAAATCTAAATCTCTTCTAGCTTGTTGAGCTGTTGTCATTTCACACGTGACCTCTTTCTCAACGCATGTGGGGGGGTGGCGGTAAAGGACATTCATGCATCGTAACGCAGGGGAGATTATGGCTCTCTCGCCCATATTGACGAAGGGTGGGGTGGCTGATTACCGGAGTCCGCCGCGACTTTGGTCCTGGCCGAGTCCCACAACAGAATCCCCCGACCGCTCACGCTCCCCCCGAGTGCAGCTGCGCGCCAAATCAGACAGATTTATCCGCTGCGCTCTAATCTCTCGCAGACAGCGATTCGAGTCCCAGAGATAGAACGTGTATCTGTGTGTTTGGCAGAGTCGCCGGCCCTCCGCTTTGTGATCTCGGGGCTGCATTGTCGGAGCTGAGCCCTTCATTTGAAGTACTGGCCCCAGTCTGTCTGTGAGATAGATAAAAAACTGCTGTTGCAAGTCGTCTTAGTGAGCGCAACACCACCTCTGTACCTTTGTAATCTTTGCACGCATGATTGCTTGCATATGAGTATCTTAATGAATGTCGTAAGCGGAGTAAAATATTTATTACATGTTTTAGTACTACATGGGTGTTTCCGTTTCCTAGTCAATGGGTACAGGAACAAGGTAGTGTATCCATGGAAAGACGCCATTGTTTCATCTGTTAAACCATTGAGATCAATATAGAACAACTGTGGAGGGTTTTCCTTCAAGCCAACTACAAGCTTCTTATTCATGAACGGACTCCTCTGACGTCAGCAGACCCGTGATATTTCGTTTTAGGAATTTGTCGGAAGAGTTAAAAGAACCAGCATGACTTGCTTAAAAACCAACACTCACAAATTGAGGCGGCATGACCTAAAGCTTGTGCTCTGAATTACAAGTCGTGTGTAAGACAGGGAATACATGACGAGAAGAAACTTTGTTATGATGCCAGTCGAGCTGTACATATTCTTAGTTTTAGCACTATGTTTCTGAATGTGATGATTTCCCCCCTCTCAATGAAATGAATAGCAAATGCCTCTGTTTGTCCAGCATCAGATTTCATACATTATATATTCTAAGAAGTCATGGTAAATATGGTCACATGGAATGTGATCTGTTGATTAACAAATGTATATATACATATATATTGTGGTAGATTACAGGGAGAGGTGAGGGGGTTGCTGATGGAGGGGAGGTATCTTGCGGCCAGATGGCTCCCCCGCTGAGCATTGTATGGACTTCCTGCCTAACGGGGAGAGGGTGGGAGCAGTTTAGTAATTGAGGTATAAGAAGGGGAACAAACAACCCTCTGGAGATGAAGAAGGAGAGAGGGAATAGACCAGACCAGACCAAGTAGACCGAGACGTAGTTGCGGAAAGTAGAAAAAATAAGATTCAACCAAGTGTAAGATTAACTGGCTTGATCTGGACTGGCTGACTACCCCCTGTGTACCGAAATGTTCTGGAAGAGGACCTGCTTGTGTATGACCTGGGAAAAGAGGACGATGAGAAGGCCAGAGAAAAAGGATGGAGGAGCACGCTGGGACTAACGGGGCTCATCAGGAAGGAACACCCACAGGTGGCTTCCAGAGACGACGCCTTCTTGTGACTCTGGACAGCAGGAAGCGCAATGAGTGCGACCAGCCGGGGCAAATCGCCTGGTCCTGCCCAAACCGTGATGCCCTGATACCTCCGGCCTCAGCCAGCGAGGTAGCCGGGGGCCGTACCTCTAATACATCGACGACGTGCTGGGCTGAGGAGAGTGGGCCTTCACCCGTCACCCCGGTAAGAGCCAACGGGAAGGACACCACGGGGAGTATGGTGACCCTGATCCAACCTGACTTTGCCCAGTACGCAACCCTGACAAACACAGTTGCAATTACCTGCATACACAGTGACACACATTGCAGGAAGTGGACAATCCAGAGCCAACGGAACCCCCCCAAACTCCCGGAGGGGGACTTGGCCGAAGCAAGTCAGGAGGAAGTGGAGGCGAGTCTGAACAAAATGTTTCCAATGGACCAAGAGGTGCCTCTGCCTGCCTCTCTAGCAGGTCCGTTTGGTAAAGCCCAATTAGAGGACCCCAATCTGCCCCCCGCAAGTTACTGTAGTGGACGGAAAACCAATTGACTTTTCGATAAAGAACAAATTGTTATAGTCAAGACGAATGATGAATGTTTGGAGTTGTTATTGGTGCCCCGTCCCTTTTGTCAGACAGTCGCGCCATAGACCTGGTGGGCCCGTTACCAAAGAGCAACCGAGGGGACCAATACCGTACAATACACCAATACCACTACCAAGGGAATTGCACGCGAGTTGGTCATGCTTTTTTCCTGAGTGTGTATCCCTGATCAAATCCTAACTGACCAGGGAACCCCATTAATGCATGTATGTCTATCTCATATACTGTCTGGCTGCTCCATTTATGACACAGAAAACTCTGCTATCTCATCTCGATATAGTTTGAGTTACTCAGAAATGCACATTATACCTCGACACGTGTTTCTTACCTGTGGTACGGCTCTCTTCTGTATTTTTTCATCGACACACCATCCATGTTGGCGGGTAAGTCGGCGTAGTTCTGCAGTCTGTCACTCCATGAAGTGGTCATCTTTTAAACCTGTCAGTGTCTGAGGAGAAAGCAGCAGCACATACGGAGGGGCTCAGTTTAAGAACGTGTGGTCAACCACAAACATTCAAATCCTAACCTCTCGCAGCATATTTACTTAAACAAGCAACTAAACCTTAGTGTTCTGTGCAACATGAATAACACCAAAAAATAGTACCTTTCTGATCTGAACAGGAGCCTCTACATTTTTGATGTTTTACGGTTATTTCTTGGGTAATCCTTTTCAATAAATTCCATTAACCACATATCTTTCAAACTGGATGTCATTTTTAGGGATGGCCTCTCTTCATCCACCTCTAGTCGCCCGTACTTTGTGCTTCTGGTTGATCGACCTGCAGCAAGCTTTACTTGCTGGAAAGGAGCAGCTTGAGTAGGAGGCATGAATCAGCTGTCCTCGACCTCTTGCACATCAGGAAAACAAAGTTGTCCCGGACCTTCACGGCGTCGGGATCTTCCGTTATCGGTGGCTACCGGCTGAGTTTGCCAAAAACATCAGAAGCCTGGTGACATCCATCCCAGGCTTGCCGTGCCATCGTCTTGCCCGGTATTTTGCACAAAGGTGTCGCTGGCTATTAGTAGTTCTATGACGGGTTGTCACCAACAAGTTATTCAGGTCTGTGTAATGTGTGTTACGGTACATCAACACTTGTTCAACAGGATCAGCACTACCCAGGTCTGCCGGACTTTGATCATTCAGATTTTGGCCACTTCATAAGTCTGCCATTTCATTTGTGCGTTGCTACACTTAAAAAAAGACATTACACTTACAAATATTGCGATTCCACCTAGTCCGTCTAATGTTACGCACGTGAAAGGAAAAACTTCACGTGAGTAATGTGATGAAGTCAACTGACCGGTTATCAACCAGAAAGGCTTAGACCAGGGGTCTCAAACTCAAATCAGGTGCGGGCCAGATGCAGCCCACTTCCACGGGTCAACGGGGGGAGGGGGGGCGAAGGGTACGGCCAACGGACACCCGCGGGGTACCGGGCAGGAGTTTGAGACCCCTGGCTTAGACTAAAGCCCGAAGAGGTAGACAACAATCTGTGGAAAGCCTTGTGAACGCCCGCCTCAGTGGGACGTGAAGCCTTTGCGGGGGCTGCTGACTCTTCATCGCCCTCCCGGTAAGTTAGGCAGAGGAGGTCAGGCGGAGGCAAACCACACAAACACCGTGTTACACTGTCAAAACATGAATTCGACGTGTATCCCAAGACAATGTGAACGTTACACGTATGTTTCACCGTCGTATTTGGCCCTGTAAACATAAAGGGCTTTTCTGTGAACAAAAACCGCGGTGAAAGCCGAGCGGATTATTTTATGCTAATTTACTGCGAAAGTGTCGTGAGCTAAAATCAAAGCGAAGCCTCGTTCTTTAAGGTCAACGCAGCGACCGACGTGTCGCTGGACCGGGAGAGAGACACAGAGAGACAGAGAGAGACACAGAGAGAGAGAGAGAGACAGAGAGAGAGCTAGCAGCCTCCGTGCGGCTCCTCCGCTCCGACCGCAAGCGGGGAAAAAACATCGCGTAGCTCGCTAAGCAACAGCGTCAAGGTGTCGCGGGGTTGGGGGGTGGAGGGTGGAGGAGGGGGTGGAGGCAGATTTAACTGCGATCAGCCGTGACTGGCATCACTGTACTCACCTCCTTGAGTTCCTGAATACAACAACCGCACAGTCGGTCGTTCTGAGCATGCGCGGTGAGCCGAGTCGATGTGTGTGTGGGGGGGGCGGGGGGGGGGCTCGTTTCCTTCTGTCTTCAGTGTGGGGGGGGCAGGCGGGCAGCGGACGGGTGTTGCACCTGCTCTCTGCGGTGTCTTTCTCTGTGTGTGTGTGCGAACAGCTGTGCGTTATGTGACGTTCAGGTCGCGGAGTAGATCGTCCTCTCAAAGGGGCGGGGCTTAGTGTCGTAGTGCGCTGCAACGGGGCTCGGCACACCTGGGCGGATAACATTCATGCACCTGGATGCAAAAGTCAATTGTTGCTTGTAGGGGAACCGCAGCATCGTAAAGAATAGTGCTCGAGTTCAAATCCTGTCGCGAAGTATTGTTAGGCATTTAAGTAGAACACCTATTGATGGAAAGTATAGTACAAGTAGAAATGTTTAGTCTAGAATTGTAGTTTGTGTGACGTTAGATAGTAGTTATTACACTAGCATGTTGGATGAAGTGAATGCAATATGAGTCAAATACAATGTAGAGTCGTGTAAATCATATAAACACTGTACACATTAACATTCTGTCACAATGTGATGTTAAAACCTGGGGACGGATGCTAGTTGCCGTCCTTTATGGATTTCTCCCAATTTTCTCCCCAAAGAGGGTTTTTGGGGAGTTTTTTCTCCTGTCAGGTATAAGCAGCTGAATGGAAGACAGCCGATTGAGGTAAATGTCTTGAGTATTGGACCACATGAACTGTGTTAGACCTTATGATGAACTGTGATCATTTATGATGTGTTGTAATTGAGGTGTACTAGTTATAAGATGAAGACAAACTATGCATGCTTTGTTATATTCACTCATTGAGGCAAACAGACAATCGTATCTACATTGAATGTGTTGGAATGTGAGGGACAGAAAAGACAGCAAGGTCTCAGGTTACAGCAGCAGCTTCACACCTCGATGTGAGGGGGATAATCCAGGAAGAGACACTTTGAAGGAGAAGCCAATGACATTCAAATGCACCCAAGAAGACACACCTCAGGAGTTTTCAAATTCAAAAAAGACCAAAGCGGCGAAAGGACTGTTAGAATTCTCCTGCAGCTGCTTTGATAAGTCACTTTAGTCTTGATCCAAGAATTCTCTATTTCGCAAAATATGTCACTGTTCGCATTGTATTTCACTTTGTAACTGTATCCATTGTCAATTTGTTTAGTTATTAAATACTTTGGGATTTTTAAATTTGAGCAAGTTGACTCTTTTGATTCATCCTTTCCGGCCAGGACGGGAACAAAGGAGTGAGGACTCCTCGAGGGCTTTCCGAACCCTTGACAGTACTCACATGTATGTATTTAACCCAACTGAAACAACTCAAGAAAGCACAATGGACGTCAATGACAACGTCAAGATAAGTTGTCTCTGGTTTGCTGGGTGCTTACGTTGCAGATAAATATGATGACACTTGTATTCTGTGGTTGATATCATCAGCGGCGGCAGAAACACTCCTTTACTCAAACAAAATGATGTGAATTGACTATTTATTTATTTTTACGTGTGACATTGTAGTGTTGTAATGCAAAAGTATTTTACACCTGATCGAGGTGGAGTTTGGTTGATCAATCTCAGATATCACCAATCTAGGGCTCAGGCCTCCTCCAAAGGGTCACCTGATACATCTGATGAGTCATGATTAATGAGAAAGAAGAAAAGGTTCTGTCACACAAATGTCTGGTCATTTGTCTAATCTTTGTTCTTTTTCTGTGAAAAAAACTTTTATTGGAGTTAAAAATTGAAATGTGTTTTTTTTGTTATTACTGTGATTATTTTTTGGGTAAATTCTTCATCTAAAAACTTATTATATACTAGCTGGCATACAATGGAGTAAAAAGCACAATACTCTTTGAAATGTTTTTGAGTGCAGAAGTATAAAGCCGCATAAAATGTAAATACAAGAATAAAGTAACTTAAAATTAAAATTATTAGTAGACGTTGGGTAGATGTAGTTAATTACTTTCCACAGACATTAACAACGAGAATAAGTGTGTTTACAGGTCTACAGCCCATGGGTATTTGAACAGTAGCACATTCCTTCTAAAATAAAACAATGGCTTTGGCGTTTACTCATGGCCGTTCACTTCTGTTATACCCTTTGGATTAGAAAAACCTTCTCTTAAAACTTAAAGCCATTGTATTCATTCTGCCCAAGATGCAAAACTACAATTGTCTGTGACAATGTTCAATAAATAGCCTATAAAAATGTCACAATACAGGTCTACAATTCATTCGGGGAATCAGCTTTCCATTGTCATAATAACTACGTGCCTCCCCGTCAAAAGCTGCACGTTTACTTTGGCTTGCAGGATGATATTTTATTGTTGCACTGACCTTGCAACCTTATTTTTTAATATCAGCAGACATTTTAAGAGAAAGGCAGAGACAATCTCCAGGGCACTGGAGCCATGAAGCCTAGTTTATGCTTCTGCGTTTTCAGAGCGACGCAGACGCAAGACCCCCTCGCGTGTCCCTTGCGTGCCTTTTCACACCTCCTTGCGTGCGTCGACCCATTTCTCTAGGCTTGCCTCGCTTTCGACGCATCCATGGAGGGAGATCTCCACAAATGTCGGTTTGCCGGTCGAGAAGTGCACAAAGTTGAGGAGGAAAATACGGGACAAATGTGTCCGTGATGAAAAGCAGCAGTGGTGATGCACGGGACAATAAAGTCTATGATTTGACACAGTCAACCACCAGATCCTTATTTCCTCCCTTCAGGAACTCGGTGTCTCAGGCTCTGCTCTCTCCCTTCTCTCGTCCTACCTCGACGGCCGCACCTACCGGGTAACCTGGCGAGGATCTGTGTCAGAACCTTGTCCTCTTACTACTGGAGTTGCTCAGGGTTCCGTCCTGCGTCCCCTCTTCTTCTCGCTCCACACCAACTCTCTCGGCGCTGTCATTCGCTCGCATGGCTTCTCCTACCACAGCTATGCCGATGACACCCAACTAATTCTCTCTTTCCTTCCCTCGGACACCCAGGTGGCGGCGCGGATCTCTGCCTGTCTGACTGACATCTCTCAGGGGATGTCCGCCCACCATCTAAAAATCAACCCCGACACGACTGAACTACTTCTCTTTCCGGGAAAAGATTCTCCGACCCAGGACCTGACGGTCAATTTTGGCAACTAACGGCCACTTTGACCGCTAAGAACCTCGGCATCACACTCGACAGCCAACTTTCCCTGGCTTGTATCATCGTCCGCCTGGACTACTGCAACTCCCTCCTGGCAGGTCTCCCTGCCACCGCCATTCGACCTCTGCAGCTCATCCAGAATGCAGCAGCTCGACTGGTCTTCAACCTTCCGAAATTCTCCCACACTACTCCACTCCTCCGCTCTCTTCACTGGCTACCGGTGGCCGCCCGCATCCAGTTCAAAACATTGGTGCTCACGTACCATGCTGTGAATGGATCGGGTCCAGCTTACATCCAGGACATGGTGAAACCCGACATCCCGACCCGCACTCTCCGCTCTGCATCTGCAAAACTGCTCGTTCCTCCCTCACTGAGAGCAAAACACTCGACTAGATCTCGACTCTTTGCTGTCCTTGCTCCAAAATGGTGGAACGAGCTCTCTGAAGACACCAGGACCGCAGAGAGCCTTCACATCTTCCGCCGCAAACTAAAGACACACCTCTTCAGACTCTACCTCGACTAAAGACTAACAAATTGTAGCACCTAAATTGTACTTACAACACCACTCATCTATAGCAAATTGTAAATTGGCTTATTTGAGGAAATTGCACTTTCTTGTTTATTGTTCTTCGGAGTTTGTACCCTATGGTTGAATGCACTTATTGTAAGTCGCTTTGGATAAAAGCGTCAGCTAAATGACATGTAATGTGATGTAATGTAATAATGTAATGATAAATATATAAACAAACCAACGACTTCCACACACAAAGACGTGACTGTCTAGGTCGTCCTCAACAAAACACGTTACTCCACCTGTTGTTCTGGCGGTGAATTGCTCTGCAACACACGCAAGACTTTTAGAACCATGATTTGAAACGAGTGCGTCGACACGACGGTGCGTAAAGACGCAGACGCAGAAGCAGAAGCATGGGACCCAACGGGTCCGAAGTCAGCAAGCAATGGCGTCTGGTAGTGACGACGCACACAAACACGCCCCCCATGTCAATCACATGCATGCCGCATTCACCGGACAGGCTCACAGTAGGAAACCAGAACATCATAACATTGTCACCAACATCATAACATTGTCCCACAAAGCAGCCAACAGCGGGGTTGCTACAATATAAAACTCGCGGGCCACACTAACATTAAACGTTCATATTACGGTGGGGGCCACAAAATATCGTCCCGAGGGCCGCAATTGCCCCGCGGGCCGCGAGTTTTGGACCCCTGTTTTAGAGGGTTAAAAAGAAACTATGTCCACATTTGTAAGTTTACCACCGATTTTATAAATCACGCTGAAAACGTGTCTAAACGTGAACGTCTTTTCAGCGTCTACAAATAGTAGTTGAAAAAAACCTTTCACTTTTAAACCAATTAGCAACCTCTTTTCAACGTCCGGCCATAGACGTCTTTTAAACGTTGTTTCAACGGATAAATTGGCCATTGCAGTTCCCGCCACTCAATTGGCCTGACTGGTCGCAGCGGAGAGCGGCTGCCAGACCAGATTGTGGAAGAGCAGGTTGGAGAGTGTGAGGAATAAGTTTACGAATACTGATACCACCTTTTGCATTTAAAGGATTTTTGTTATCTAGTCCCATTAGGTTCAGGGGTGCTGGGAGTATTATACTTTTCGGTTATTAAATAATTAAGTTAGTGAGGACTTTTTTGTTTAACCTTTTGTTTTCTTAGATAAACTGGGATAATCCACAGCACCCATTGGCCCCATTCTCTTTTTGTAAGCTCTGTTCAGTTCTGTCCAATTCAAAAATAAATATCCTTTATAAATACCGATTACATCCTGTTTTATGTTTATGTCCGTCTACCCCCAGCTACAGGACGTAACAATGACACTGAGGCAGATTATTTAGAATTAGAGATCAATTCTGCTGTCTACACTTTGCCACACCATGCATCCACCTGCCCAAATGACATGTTAATTTACCGTGAAAACCTGGATCTAAGCATTGCATTGCGCCTCCTCTTGACTCTTCCTGTCTCTGTTGCCTCTGCTTTGAAGTTGATCAAACCCTATTCGAGTTCAACCATGTGCCGGGAAAGGCCCACAGGACTTGCACTGATTTCAATAAAAAGAGATGTTTGGAGGTCCTTAGATATGAAAGACATAGTGGCTGCATTTGCAGAAGCCAAGGCCCATAAGCAGCAGTTTTAAGTAAAAAAAAAGGCACTACTACAGGACTGTGGATAGGACCACGGTGTGACAGCAAGTCTTAAGTTCTTCCTTTCCACTTCAATTCCTTGTTTGTTTGTTTTTTTTGCTTAGTTCCGTTTTTATTATTCTGAAAATTGTTATGTTATCTTTGTTTTTCTATTATTTAAATGTGTGTAAAGTTTGCATTCAAATAGTTATGTTATTGATTATTTATTTTATATGTTAATTGTTTAATAAAAGATTTCTTTACTGATCCGTAGTCCTGGACTTCATTTATCATGATTCTGGGGGGCCCATGGGCCCCAAGGTCCTTCTTGCCTTGGGCCCCCTGGGGGTCTAAGGCCCCTGATGACTCATGTCAGTTCACAATTCCTCCATCATCATTTAATCTGAACATCCAGCTGCCAGGAGGCTACATTTACTTCAGTGAAATTTACATTTACAGTAACATCTATATTATTTAACAACTTTGTGTTACTGCCAAACCTTATCCTTGGAAAAGTTATTGCATGAATTTACATGAATTTCTCTCTAAATGTTTGAAAAAGTGCCATATGAATATCGTTGTTCTTTTTTCCCCCATATGATAAAGCTAAATGTACCAAAACTGCACAGGATTTTAGAACGTGCGGCATTTTACAAACGGCGCCCCATATGTATTGAACCTAATCTTTCTTTGGCGTTCTCGTTTTCTTGTAGTGTGCTGTTCTCTGACAGCAGAGGTCAGCAAAGACCTGTCACCGGGACGCTGATTTCAAGGGACGCTGCGCAAAACCAAATATGCGCAAGACAAAACTGATACGTTCCATTCAATTCCTGTAGAGGAATTCAGATCACTAACTGAAAAAAAATATTTTTAAACGTTAAACGTTATTTTTAAAGTTCTAAAGTGCAACCTCGAATGCAATACTTTAAAAGAAGATGCAGGTTGCTTCTTACGCCTGCATCATCTTAACATGGATAGTACTCTCTATTTAGCTACCCCTCTGATTTTTGTCACCAAGCTAAACGTTTCTAGTTAAACTCACATGCTACTCTTAAAGTCAAGTTCAGCATCTCTTTATTCTCACTCGAGACGTTTGGGAACAGGTATAAAACACACGTTATTTAATTTGAAGTGAGCATAGACACCCATGGAAAGTGTCACTGTAATGATTTCAAAAAGCAGTAACGCATGTAACCTGCTATTTAAAACAATGCACAACCGATAAAGTTTTGAAGAAAATTGAATCATCATTGCATTTAAGGCGGGCACTTATTTGGGAATTTTTAGAGCTGTCTCTGTTCGTAATATTTTTCTTTACTCTACAGAAATGCTTCTGGAGGAAGTATGACTTTTCAGTTTAAAATGTATATGTGAAACGAAACACCGACCCACCACTGCGCCAAAAGGACAGTTCCATCTGCTCCACACAAAGAACAGTAGAACAGTGTTATATGCACAATTCTTCCTCCATGGACCAGAGGAAGAATTGTTGTAGACAGATGTTAATTATTGTTAATAAAACACATCGAGAACAATATTCAGCATTAAAGGGCATATTCATCGGGCTAAATGGCGCATGTGGAGTCCGGATTTTAATGAGTCGGTCCCCCTATAAAAACGAGACGCGCCCACTGCTCTGCTCTGTCTCCATTCAAGCCAAGATGAGCTACGGATCTGAAGCCTTCTCCTCCTCCTCCTCCTCCTACAGGAAGATTTTCGGGGATTCTCCCCGTTATGCCTCCTCTCCATCACGGACACCGATGAACGTGTCCTCCCGGGGAGGTTACCGGTCCTCCTCGGTATCCCGGAGCAACATTTCACCCGTCGGCGCGTACAACAGAAAGTCCGGCCGCCTCATGCCACTGGAGACCTTCGACCTGACGCAGAGCAGCGTCCTCAACAACGAGTTCAAAATTGTCCGCACCAATGAGAAGGAACAAATGCAGGGTCTCAATGACCGCTTCGCGGTGTTCATCGACAAAGTGCGCAACTTGGAGCAGCACAACAAAGTGTTGGAGACGGAGTTGAGCGCCCTGCGCCAGCGGCAGGCGGAGCCGTCCCGCCTGGCCGAGCTCTACCAACAGGAGATCCGTGAACTGCGCTCGCAGCTCGAAGAGCTGAACGGGGAGAAGTCCCAGCTCGTCATCGAGAGGGATAGCATTGAAGACGACCTGCAGAAGTTAAGGGCTAAATACGAAGAGGAGTACCGTGCAAGGGAGGACGCGGAGGTCACCCTCAAGGCCTTTAAGAAGGATGTGGACGACGCCACCATGGTGCGCCTGGACTTGGAGAAGAAGGTGGAATCTCTGCTGGACGAGATCAACTTCCTCAGGAAGGTGCACGAGGAGGAGGTGGTCGAGCTGACGGAAATGATCCACGCCGCCCAGGTGTCCGTGGAGATGGAGGTGTCCAAGCCGGATCTCACCTCGGCCCTCAAGGAGATTCGAGGCCAATACGAGTCCATGGCGTCCAAGAACCTGCACTCCGCCGAGGAGTGGTACAAGACCAAGTTCGCCGACCTCTCCGATCAGGCCACCCGGAGCAACGATGCCATCCGCGCCAGCAGGGAGGAACTGAGCGAGTTCAGGAGGCAGTTGCAATCGAAGACGATTGAGACGGAGAGTCTGAGGGGAACCAACGAGTCTCTGGAAAAGCAGCTCCGGGAGATGGAGGAGAGGCACAACATGGAGATCGGAAATTACCAGGTAAAAATCGTTTAATGACTTGGTTACCGTTTTTCTAAAAATAGCACATCTGCACATCTTTTATTCATGAAACAAATATTTGTATTAATATTAACACACCGTAAAGGGTTTTCAGAACAATAGACCAGGAACAGCTGCGCTCTGTCCGTGGTGCTGAAGCTCATTCCCCCCGGACAGCGGGCTCAGATGCTGCATCAGACAACGCCCTCTGAGTGTGTGTGTGTGTGTGTGTGTGTGTGTGTGTGTGTGTGTGTGTGTGTGTGTGTGTGTGTGTGTGCAACTTTGGTGTGGTTTTAGATGAAGCTTTACCAACTGAGAGTATACATTTTAGGGCAAAGCAAATTATGCTCATAAACGACTTAAATGTTCGGCCATGAGAGGCTAACAAAGGGATTGACAGAGCTCTTTATTTGACCATGAAATGTGTTAAGTTAAGAATGAAATCTGGAACCCCGGTGTTGTTTGATGGTTGACAGGACAACATGCTGGAGCTGGAGAATGACCTGAGGGCCACTAAGAGTGAGATGGCTTGTCATCTGAGGGAATACCAGGACCTGCTGAATGTCAAGATGGCACTGGATATTGAAATTGCAGCTTACAGGTACGTTCTTCTCACAAAGACAAATCACTAACAGTTCTTCTGTAAAATGTAAATCAAAAACACTCAAATTTAAAAAATCCCCCTCGTTCCTTGTTAAAATGCCGTCCCATAACAACACCTTTCCTCTGCATGTTATCTCAATCCTACGTAAACCCTTCTCTCCATCGCTCCCTTTCTGCAGAAAACTACTGGAAGGGGAGGAGACCCGCATCGGGACAGGGATAGGCTATCCTGGCTCCTCCATGAGCGCAGGCCTCGGGCAAGGCTACAACTACCAGAGCCGTATATACACCAGCCCCAGCAAGGGCTACAAGAGGGAGGCAAAGGACGAGGACCAGCAGCAGCAGAGCAAGTCCGGAGCCAAGGTGTCCCAGCGTGAAGTTTACGAGGAGACCGTGGTCACCACCACCAAGAAGATGGAGAAGCAGCAAGACCCCAGCGACATTTCAACCAGTCAGAAAATCTAAGGGCCTCCTGTAAGCTTATTCTTCACATTTTACCCTGCAAACCCATATCACTTTTCATTTCCCAAGCTAAAATAAACCCTGAGCCTTTACATTCCAACACTTGTGGGGATCTCAGAGGATGGCTTTGCCCCCTTATGATAAGCATAAGATCATCCTGGTTTCCATCCGCACTGTTGAGTTTGGGATCTATATGTTGGTTTTACGTGTTGTTTTCTCTCTCTGTCCTTTATCCCCCACATGTGATCCTCAAAGGAAATCAATGGTAACTCTTCTGTAACCACCACTCTACACAAAAACCAACAGTACATCAGTGCTCTGTCTTTCTCCTTCACACACTCAACATCAAACAATAACCAGCACTTATCGTAGGTAACATCTCTTACAGAAGCACGGCCCTTCAAAATACACCAATAGGCTGGTGTGTCACACTTTGGGCTGATGTTACTTTAATATGTGATACTTACAGACGTAAATAATGGACTGGTCATCCACTACCACCACAAACTGTGAAGTACTCTCAACACATTCCAATGAAAGCATGCGTGTGCATCCACTTATACGAAACAACAATTCAATGAGGAAGCACACAGTCTACAGCCAAGATGAACATGTTTCATGACAGTATGTTAAGCCATTAGAGAATTGAAAAAAAGCAAATGCATTAATCGAGCATAATTTGCATGGTGTATGTAGATGTCATGCTTGCATGGAATCCGTCGGCCCATTGCTCATTTGACACCATCTACCGTGCTGAGCATCATCATGCACAACACTCATAAATAACATTAATAGACATACTTGTAAGCATAAAGGATGTGATTTGAGTAGAACTCCATGCTATGAAGATAATAATAAAAAAAAGTTCCACTTTAATGCACTTATGTAAGAATGTCACAACAGCCAAATTTGGTAAACAGTTTGCACAATATGCTACGAGGGATACGGGGAAAGGGGAAGCAAAGATGGTGCAAAGGAGGGAAACGCTGCTACACCACAACTTTGAAACAACTTTCATTTTCGCTTTATAACCGCGGCTGGACAAAATGTCTGCTGTACCTCCCCACTAGAAATCCCGCGGTATGAGTGTCTTGTAGCTTGTTTTTGTTCTCTGCTTGTGTTTTGCAAACTCGAGCACAACTTATTCTCCTGCTGCTGATCACGCCGACCCTCACCCTGACAAACCGCACATGCGTTGAAAACAAAAAACTACGGCACACTGGTGTGGATTGGGTTCCTGTTGTTATACTCGAGGCTTGCGATAGTGTGTCAGTGCTGTAGTGAGTGTTTCTGTGTCTCTACACAGTGGCCTATCATAATTATGTAGAGGGCAGCGAACCTGAAAGTTGGGCATTTTGTTTGAATCAGTGGATTCCAGTGTAAAGCAGAATAAATGTACGAGAAGTTTAAATGTAAGCTGCATTTTGTAATACACAGCTGTAACAGTGGGTGAATGGTTCTTCTTCCTTTCTTCTTTATCTTTAAACTGTAGACCAAAACCGCCATTCATTTGTGTCTGAAGAGGTAGAGTTCACTCTTACTGCACTGCCAAACTTTTCTAAGTGCACATGCAACATCCCTTCAGGGGAAAAAAACTTTAAGCATTTCTTCTGAAAACCCGGTTTGTCACAAATATAAAATACACCAATCAAGGTTTAGCCACAGAACAAATAACCATAGGATGTAAAATGCCTTAAAACACCAGCAGCTTTCTTTCTGGCCATGTGCGTGATGTGTATGATTATGTTCAGTGGAATGTGTAAGCATTATTATATCTTTATTAGACAACAAAGGCATAGGAATTGAATGTGGTTTACATGCTATTCTGTTTGATGTTATTCTCATGTATTGCTGTATGACACCATATAATAAAAACTCAATAAAGACATGAAATTACTGAGGCTACGCAGGATTTCATTGGAGTATTTTGTATGTCGCTTTCTTGATGTTCTACATATATGTGTAACAGCATTAATGACAGTGGTGTAAAGTAAATTAATGCAAGTACTGTCCTTAAGTACATTTCAGTGGTACGTGTACTTTGCCCGACTATTTCCTGATGCTCCTCCACCATTTTCCAGAGGCAAACAATGTAGTTTACGGGTTTTTACTCCACTAAATTCATTTGATAGTCACTGTTTATTTTGCAGATTCAACGCAATAATAGAAAAATGAATCAACAAATAAAGTATGTGGTATTATTTCATGTAAGATAAACTTTACAGACTCCTGGAGGCAAATTCACAAGTCACCCAGCAGTACTGATGACCCAATTCCACCCGTCCTTACCAGCTGCCAAAGTTATTACTGCATCACTAATAATAATCCAATATCATAATAAACTGTTTTAGAAAATACGTAACTTAGCAGAACACATAATTCAGAATTTAATTCAGAATTAGTACATGTTGTATTGGTCCTTTAAGAATATTATATAGAAATATAATGTCTGTCTGTTCCGTGATATCGCTACTCACAGTTAAGTAAAATATGTCACTGCTTTCTATACCACACATTAATGCTCTGAAATATTAAGGAAAGGAGAGAGAGACCTTTCCCAGATTTCTATATCAGGAGCACATTGAGCAGATTTTAACACGCTTTTCAGCACGAGCGAGTTTCTTTTGTTGCACACTTGATGCAGCAAATGTAAGAAAACCTCTTAGGTCCAATGTTGAGTGCCAGTATTTATCCGTAAAAATACATTTTGCTTTAAACCAACTCAGGCCAGACAGCAACGTCTCCTTTACTTCTTTGTTGTTCCTTCTGACGATGGTTTACCTGCTGCTGTACTGCACGTTGATCTTTGTACCTTGCCGTGCCATACGCACGCACACAGTTCTAGACCTTAAGACCTCAGGCCGCTTGGATTGTCTCTGTAACGGGGCGGGACTCGTACAGGGCTGGGTGTGCATGTGTGACGCAGATTGCAGTTCTTCAAAGATTTATACCCCTGCAATGCCGCTTAGAAGGTGTGGCGGGATCCATTGGGTGAAATGCTCACTGTAAAAGCCCTCTTATGAAACAGTCCTCCCTCATCATGCTTCAAACCTCAAGAGGGCTTCAACTTTCTATTCTGAGTCTGATCTTAGCCTCTCTGCCTTTGATCACCACCGACAAACAAGAGTATTACAGGGAAATAAAAACACATGAGTTACATGCAGCAAATGTTGCCTCCTCAAGGATCTCAGATTACTTTGAGGGTGTTTAGTCCTTCAGTAGCAATGCAATCAGCAAACGCTGCAGTTGGCTGATTTCTCAAGTGCGTCATTCTTTAATTATTGCCACTTTCTTGTGTTAAAATACCTCGTGTTTTTCAAAATATTGTTTTTATGCTGTAATAAATGAAAATGAAATGAACAGAGAATAAACTGTGCCTATTAGTTCATAGATACACTCACGTCTCAATACATTAACATCCCGGTAAGTCTCATCTGAACGCATTCATCTGAATGAGGGGAATATTTAAACCCAACCTGATACCGCATAACGCCAAATGGACAATTGTCTTAAGTTCTGTAAGTTTATTGTTTAGGCTGTACCTGGAGTTTGAGGGTAATATAAATATAATCTCTGCAAACACACTGCTCACTGACTATGGGAATTGTTCCTTTTTCATGTCTTTGCCTTTGCTATCTTGAGGTACAAAGGCGACTGTGTTGAGGGAGAAGCATGTTTTATGTTCTGTCTGTTAATAAGTGTCTGTGCGGGGCTGTGCTGGTGGTGGAAATGAGAATCAGGAAGCAGAGCGAGGCGGCCACGGCCGTAAATCTGGCCCGTTTGTCAGCATCTCTCGATCAAAGCCATCCCTCTTCTCTGCACTGAAGAGTCGGTTCTGCACACATTTTAACTTGTGGATTTGGAAGAGCAAACCGAGAAACAGAAAAAAGGGCAGGAGGATGTTTTTAAAAACAGAAATGGTCTTATTGCCCTTTTGAAATATAAGTTTTAAGACTACTTAGGATCAAACGCAAATGATTTATTCAGACAAATTTAACTTTGAAGCCAATTATCTTGACCAGCCTGTACATACTGAATCCGAAACTCTATGTGTGGTATTTCTCTGCAACTGGTTATATTTCTGTGAAATTTTTAAATAAGACCATCCGCTCAAGCAACCAATAGATGTTCTCGGACATCGTCGTAGCGACTAACGGCCTTATTCTGCTAACCATATGTCACAGAAACAGATATTGATAGATCTATTCATTTAGAGCCCTGTATAGAAAATACATTAATGTGAATACACCGATTGCTGTGGAATGAAATTAAGCGCATATGTAGCCTCCACAAAATACTTTTTCCACAAGAAGAGAATTGTCTTTTTGCAAATTAAACCACAACTGGATTTTGGGGGAAATGTGCAAAGCCAGCAACTCCAGCATGACTTCATGAAAGCACGGAGGTCAGTGAGTCCAAGATAACGGCCTATTAAACTGTATTATTTTCTTTTCCAAATGAAACAAAAGTTAAAATGTCCAAATAGGTCTCGCTGGGTGTTTTTCCTTATATCTATTGCTTTGTGCTATGCTAAGCTAGGTCAAAGACACCACTGAGCCTGCACATAGATGAATCCCTTATTGGCTTTGCTAACCTTTAAACACTGGCAGCCGGGCACATTTAAAAAAATGAGCATGAATAGTTTCACGATTAGAATCAGCAACAGATGCTGATGCACGTTCTCGCTGCACCTGTAATCAAAGTGTTAATTTGTGAGTTGAAGCCGCTGTTGCCTTGGAATCAGTTGCTAGCGTCCTGCTGTGCTTCAGAAGCCTCTGTGATTTACACCTTTCAGAGGGACAAAGTCTGTAGACAAAGAGATCAAAACGCAGCAATATGAAAGGATTTAGGAGGCATAGAGGAACATTTATAGGGATCAGATGATCATACTTTAATGGTACACCGGGGTAGTACGGCTAAAGATAGTCTGTTGCTACCTGTTCTTTCTATTTTCTGCCTTGCAAAAAAAAATGCTGATTCATTTTGAGGCAGGCCCTGTGTGTGACGTGGCTTCCTCTGTTAAGCAAGCCTTCACTGTGATGTTTCTCCTCAGGGCTAATAATAGAAGAGACAGAGCCGGCTGAGCCAGACATGCAGACAGACAGACTGAAGGACGAGGTCATCAAAGGGGGAAGGTCGCAGCTCCATTTGTGACCTCTATCTACGCTTCCATTAGGATGAGATATTGGGGGTATTCAACCTGAAAAACAATGACTGCCACATGTTTTTCTTCGTCCTGAAATGTTTGCTAAATTAGAAAATGCAAACGGGTAAAAATAAATACTGGAAAGGATAAAAAATTGTACAAAGATAAATGCATGTGCATTATGTAATTATTTATATCAAAATACAGGAGCCTCACCGGTAACTACCACATTCGATGAACGCAAAGCCTATAGAAAGACACATCACACCAGGTCTAGTTGTGGTGAAATATCTCTTTTCCTCAGATGTGGAAATGTATGATTCATCACTTCCAACAGTGATTAAATAGATTTGAACCCTGTTGTAATACAGTAAAAGCTCCAATAGGTTGTGAATAAGGTAGGTTCTGGGCAGACGGTGCATTGAGTGTATCTAATTGACAATGAATTCCTAGGATTGGGTTTTACTTCCAATACGAATCGAAATACTTTCAATGTTAAAATCTCTTTCCAATCATCAATGTTTCTTTTATGCAACCGTTACAACTCGGCAGGGACAGGCTTCACTTCCTCGGTGACATGACCAAGTGCTAGTTGGTCCCTATTCAGATGGGACTCGTTATGTTGGAGGAGGACAGGGAGGGTGCAGGAGTGCAGCAAAACAAGTCCGACCTACAGGGATGTGTCCTTGAGTAACCTTATGCTGCAGCACACAACCACTGACAGTAAACATTAATCCGTTATTTTCTTCTCTTTGGCACAAAAAACCCCCAATACTTTTTAGAAAAATGGTGTATCTAAATATCACAGTGTACCTTCTATTGTAAAATGTTCCTTCAGCTCTTTTGGGGGGTGAGATGTCTGTGCTCCTGCTGCTGCCTAATCCATTATGGAGCAGCTGAGCCCATCAGGGCTTTCTACTCAACATCCAGTCTGCAGACTATGACACAGCATTTGGAGAGAGAGAGAGAGAGAACACAAAGGAATTGAACTTGATGTTGGGAGGCCTTGAAAGAACAGTAAAGGTAAGAAATGGAATAATTCATAACCAGAAGCTCAAAGCAATAAAAAAGAAGTGATTTCTCTGATAATTTTTAGATGCATTTGTTACAAATAAGCGTGAAGAACAGTTCACTCGTGTTAAAGCTCTGATGACATTTCTGATACTCATTTCCAGTGATATTATAAAACAAAATAAAATACGACTTATTATTTCATCATTACCATACAACCTTATTAGACCATTCATTATCAGAGGTCAGAAAAGGAAACACTATAGGATATTTTACCACGGCAAATAATAACTACGTTACATCTATTTCTCTAGAACAAGTTAGCAGCATAGAGAAATGTTTTCCTGGCCATATTCCTCGTTTTGCCGAAGCAGAAGTGCTGCACAGATTAATTACGATCAGACTACAACACAGAGGATAATTAAACCTGATTCGATCATAATGACTGGTTTCTAAGATTACAAAGAGCCTGCACATTTCTGTATGACACACAAATGTTTACCTGGGACAGTCTGCACCCTTTACATAGCAGCAGCTCAGAAGAGTCAGATTAAAACAGTTTTAAACAGGAAAACAGGAGTTTTTTTAGCTACACAGAAACGACGAGCAGGTAAATGAGGTTTCATTGTTACGTCCCCTTCTGGTGCCGGGGAGGCGTGGGGACGAATGCAGGACAGTCAAGTTTAGGAATTACACAAGAGCTGATGCAATACAGACAATTTATTATTATATTCAGTAAACTTAAACA